TCCCCAGTCAAATTGACTGAATCACAGCTTGTCATGGCGATGCTACAAGATGCCAACGACGAATTGGCTCATCTTCATTCTATTATTCCGGCATGGATTGTAGAAGATAAAAATCCTACTGCCTCTCGAAAGTCAAAAGCGTTAAAGGTGGTTGCATTGAAAGGGGCTCAGTCCTGGTTAATCATGTGCACTTTTATCAAGCGGTTGCTTGTAAATTCTGGAGGTTTTGTTGATTTAAGGACGGCGTGTGGGGTGACTGGTGCTGTTGCTCGTAAGTTTTCGAATGCAGTTGTCACCAATTGGGCTATTGTTCGAGAAAAGGGGCTGCGTTTTTCGAGCAATGCACGCCACCATGTAGTGAATTAAACCTACATTTTTGGCCTAAATCAACTCGGTTCTAATAATTTTGATTTAGGAATGCTGATTTTTATTTATTGAGTTCGATCAACGTCTTTTATAGTGCCCTGACAACGGCATGTTCATTTCTTGCTTGTGTGTTGGCACTGACCTCACCAATTTAATCAAAACTGATCGCTTAGATCAAATCTCAAAACAGTAAGCTCACGCATGCTCATTGTTTTTAATCCAAGCTAAAAAAAAATCGTATTTGGCACCAAAGTAGCAAAAAGAACTCAATTTAACATATCAAACGGGAATATCGGCGAAATAATTCAATACCAAAATTACTTTTTCATATCGTAAAGTATCATTTTGTAATATTTATGACAACAAGAGTCAAAACTTAATTTTAACATCATAACCACTATTTAAATGGCTGATTATCAATTGTCAAACCAATATAATCTCGTCCAGGATGCCTTCGTCAACTTCTTTCGCCGCTTTCAGCTCATCCGGTGCATCTCGTTCGACACCCTCGCCTTCTCCACAATCTTCATCATCTCCTCAAACCACTCAGCCAACTTTTTTGTCACCTCCGTCTTTGGAAGATACTGCAGAAGCTTCAGATGCCAGCGAATTCGATAAATCCTCTAGTCACGACGACGATTCTGACTATTCGCCACATTCTAGTAGAACCACCACGATAAAAAGAAAGCAAACTAAAAAAATGGTTAAACGACGACGTTTAGTACGCGCAATGGACAAGGACAACACCAAAAATGTAAAAATACAGAATTCCGATACAGCCGACGAGCTCAGCACAGCATCTAAACCTTCGACAAGTCAAACAAAGCACGATAGAAAAGTAGCAGCAGCCACATGGGCAGATGATGGTAGTTTAGATCTCTATAGACGACGATTACACGAATTACGTCAAGAATTTCAAGATTCTATAAACAAAAGTCGAAAAACTTTTTACAATTGTCCACGAAGGCAAGATATAAACAAGGAAGAAGAAAAACGTGAAGAGTTTTGTGTAGAAGAGAACGATACAGAGACTGGAGCAACAGATTACACGCCGTGGGATGTTATAGAGACGGCATCGGGACTTGTAGCACCGAAATATGTATTGACGCATTTACTGCCTCATCAACGTGATTGTCTTGAGTGGCTTCACAAGCTACACGAACGAGGAGTTGGTGGCATTTTAGGAGATGATATGGGGCTTGGAAAAACAGTTCAATTAGCGTCTTTTATTGGCTCATTACATACTGTTGGACGACTTCGGACAGTTCTTCTTTTGTGTCCAGCATCCGTGCTTTTACAGTGGGTAAGGGAATTGCACAAATGGTCACCGTGGATGCGTGTTGTATTGCTGCACGCATCTGGAACAGGAATCACCTCATCGTATTCTAGTGAATGCTACGAAAAGCTAATTGATGAAATCTTTCAATATGAGGAGGAAGAAACAACAGAAAATAAAGCCACAAATGGAGGTGTCGTGATTAGCACTTACGAAAATGTTCGACAATACCAAAAATTATTCTTGACGCGAGAATGGGATTACGTCGTGCTTGACGAGGGACATCGAATTCGAAATCCGGATGCTGAAACAACTTTGGCTTGCAAGCAACTGCGCACAGTTCATCGCATCATCCTTTCGGGTACACCGATTCAAAACCGGCTTCGTGAACTCTGGTCACTTTTTGACTTTGTCTATCCAGGACGTCTTGGAACGCTACCAACATTCGAGGATGAATTCGTATTACCCATTCGAGCAGGTGGGTATGCAACTGCAACGAAGATGCAAGTATTAATGGCGTACAAGTGTGCATTAGCACTGAAAGATTTGATTGAGCCTTTTCTCCTTCGTCGTACAAAACAAGAAATTCAGTGTGGTGAAACTAGCGATCGGGGGAATTTGTTACCTGGAAAACAAGAGCACATTATCTTTTGTCGATTGACCAAGCGACAGCGTGCGTTGTATAAACGTTTCTTAGCATCACCAGAGGTAGCATTAGTATTGCGTCGCGAGATTCGGCCATTTCGAGCCATTATGATCTTGCGGCATATTTGTAATCATCCGGATCTTTTGACGTCGTTTGGAAATGGAGAACTAGCAGATAAGAAGCAACAATTGTATGACGAAGACGAGGAAGATTTGGATAATCTTGTGAGTTTGTTAAATCAAGTGGATCAAGAAGACGAGACGGAAGACGGTGACCATGTACCGTCATTTGGTGATGCAGCGTCTAGTGGTAAGATGATAGTGTTGCAAAAGATTTTAGACCTTTGGAAAGAACAAGGCCATCGCGTGTTAATTTTTACGCAGACACGTGGTATGTTGGATATTCTCGAAAGTTTTATGTCGAAACTTGGTCATAATTGCACACGTTTGGATGGTACAACCAATGTCACCGAGCGACAACAACGTTTGGATGCATTTAACGACTGTAATAGTAATTTATTTGCCTTCTTATTAACAACCCGTGCTGGTGGTATTGGCGTTAATCTGGTCGGTGCTGATCGTGTGGTTGTATTTGATCCAGACTGGAATCCATCCACTGACGTTCAAGCTCGTGAACGTGCGTGGAGAATTGGACAGCAGAAACCCGTGACGGTGTATCGTTTAGTGACCGCTGGTACAATTGAAGAAAAGATTTACCATCGACAGATTTTCAAGCAATACTTAACAAGCAAAGTCTTGCATGATGCCAAACGAAAACGTTGTTTTAACAAGCATACATTACGGGATTTATTTGTACTTGAAGATGACAAGGAGGGAGAGAATGGAGGAATCGAAACTACCGACTTGTTTGTTGCTGGAAATGTTGATCGACCTATGGAACCTGCAGATGATGTTTTGACGACACCGTCAACTAGTGACGCGAATGTAGGTGATAATGATGTCGTGTTAAAGCAATTGTTTGATGGAGGTGATGTACGTGGTGTATTCGATCATTCGGCTGTGGAATTTGAAGGTGTACAAAATCAAGAAGCCGATTTAGTCGAAATTGAAGCGACTAATGTAGCAAAAGGAGCGCTGAGTGCTTTGCGAGCCTCAGGAGCTTTGGTGCGTCAACAACGTGAAAGTATCTACACACCAACTTGGACAGGTCGTTCTGGAACTGCAGGAGATCCTTCACAGCGTCGACAGTCTGCAATTCGTGGTCGTGGAGCTCTGCGAGGTCGACGAGAACGGTCAGGATGCGTCTCATCTCGTGAAATGCTTGCTAAGATCAGGCAGAGACAGGAAGGTGTTGCTAAGAGTGCTGCTAAGCCGTTGATATCTTCAGTACCAACACTGAGTGCTAGTGATATGACAAAAAGGCTTCATGCGTTTCTTGTGGCGAATCCGGCAGGGGTGACAACGGAACGGCTTTTAGAGATTTTTGGGAATATCATTGCACCGAAAGACAAGCTTGTTTTTCGGCATGTATTACGGGAAATGGCAATTTGTCGAGGTCGACGTTGGACATTAAAACCGAGTTATGACACAACAGCGAAGATGACGATTGCGTCGTCTGCTCCGCCTTGCCGTCAGGTGAATCGGTAAAAGCAAAATAGACTGATGGGAAATTGAAATTTAACAGTCTGGAGGTATCTATCGCAGTCTTCATTTTGTCGCCCTTTGATTATGTGATAATGACCGTACCAAGCTCTGTACGATCATTAACATGTAAATTAAAAGCTCGGAGATTTACAATGAGTGATACAAATCTTGTAGACAACGATAGTATCATCACATGTACGAATGCACGTGACGTTTCCACGGGTGCATTCCTTCCCACGCATTAATCAGGAAGAGCTTACATCTGTAACAATTCCAAAACAATTAATTCTATAGACAATAATACTCTTGACCGTCGAGATGACTGAGTTGAGCAGTCAATTTCACCAAAGCCACACACATACCCACATATGATCCCAAAAGCTTCGAATCTGCCAATGTCTGAGAACTGAGAATGTCAGATCGAGCTTGTAGCCTTCGAACGTTCTCTTGGTGTAAGGCGACTTGAAATACAAGTCTAAATTTGAAGACCAACAAACCAAATTTGCATGCTGCACAATGAACGACAATCCTAGAAATTTCAAAACCCATGATGCTCGATAAGACCAACAATATCAATCCGATCTTGTAGTACAGTAGTGAACAATTCTGCAAAGCGATTGACATTAAACATCAAAAAATCAATCAACACTTCCGGGTGATAACAATCAAATGAGATTCTTAAGTTTTCAGCCTCAAAATCCAAATCGACGAGGACGGGGCAGCCGAGTTGTCTTGGACGAAGACGTCGACGAACCAGAGTGGCCAGGTCCTGCCACAGTCATGCGTTGCTTCTTGTGATGACTATCACTATTGTGCTTTATGCTAGACACTGTCCTGGCCTTTTCATCTTTAGCGACAAGAGAAGCTTCCATTTCATTCTCCATTTCTACGGCTTCCTCTTTCTCCTTCATTCTTTTCATTAATCGTGACTGAAACGACTCTTTGACACTAAAAAACATTGGCCCAAGCTCTGCTAACCACTCTCCTTCAACGGCTGTGGCACACTGCATGTACTCTTTACTTGTGTATATAAGTTCATGATATACCACAAAGTCTGGCGTGTAACCAAGACCAAAGAGTGCAGCACTTGGATGTAAATTGCACGGCATTCCCGTCAACATATTAACGTATTCTCCAATACCCTTAATTTGCGCCGAATTATAAAAATAAGCTGAACAGATCGCTTTTCGAACAACATCCCAGCGTCCTTCACATGACTTCAGACGTACACGTTGTTGCTTCATAATATCTGCCAATTGCTCCCGTACTTCTCTTGCCTTACGTAATCCTTTTGCATGAATAAAATGATCCGAACACCATTGAGCCGAGTGACGATTTGATTCCCATTGTTGATAAACATTCAGTAACGTCAAATGGTCACTTTCGGGTACAAAAAACTTTTCTCGAGCTGCATCACTCTCTTCTTCTCGATCTTTCGGACGAAAAAAGACACTGGGCACAGACAACATACTGACAACAATGAGTACTTCCGTAGAACATCCCAATGCTTCACTGAAAAGTAGCATTTTCGCTAGTGGTGGATCGAGTGGAAACACAACCATCTTTTTGCCAATTTCTGTTAGTTCGCCTGTATTACTCAAGGCTCCTAAGACCCACAATTGGTACATGGAATTGATAATATTATCTTGTGGCGGTGGATCCATGAAGTCAAATTCAAGCAAATTGGACACACCAAGAGACTTAAGTAAAAGCACAACGTATCCTAAATTTGTTCGTTGAATCTCGGGAATTTGGGCTTCCAACAATTCATTGACAAATTGCCGCTCGGTATACAATCGATATGCCACACCTGGACCTGTACGACCAGCTCGACCGGCACGTTGATTGGCATTTTGCTGACTAATTGGACTTACTTGCAGCGCGTCCATGCCAATTTTAGGATTGTATACTTTAACTTTGCAGAAACCAGTGTCAATTACGTACTTGATACCATCAACAGTAAGCGAAGTTTCGGCAATATTTGTCGATACAATACACTTGCGAATCTCTGAAGCATCAAAGATCTTGGCTTGTAAATCAGCTGGTAATTGTGAATACATTGGGAGTACCATTAAAGGTGGGGCACCATCAAGCTTTCCCATTCGTTCTGCTAGTATGTAACAAGTCGCTTCGATATCTTCTTGGCCTGTCATAAATACTAAAATATCACCTGGAGGATGAGAGAGATGAATCTGCATTACCTGCTTTACAGCAGCGTCGACATAATCGTCACTTGGAGACTTGGTGTAGCGAGTTTCCACGTGAAAGGTTCGACCAGGAATATTAAACATAGGGACACCACCAAAAAAGCTGGCAAACTTGTCAGCATCTAACGTAGCCGACGTGACAACTAATTTAAAGTCACTTCGACGTTGTACTACTTTGCGTAGAATACCGAATAAAACGTCAGTATTCAATGCGCGTTCATGAGCTTCATCCATGATCACACACGAATACGAATCTAAATCAGATTCTCGCAAAGACTCACGCAACAACACACCTTCTGTCATATACTTGATAATAGTCTTATCTGTTGTTAAATCTTCAAATCGAATTGCGTACCCAACTTCATCGCCAAGGGTCACATCCATCTCTTCACTCACACGTTGAGCCACCGACATAGCTGCCACACGACGTGGTTGGGTACACCCAATCATTCCAAATTGAGCATATCCTTCTTCATACAAATACTGCGTCAGCTGTGTCGTTTTGCCAGATCCTGTTTCTCCAACAATCACAACAATTTGATTCTCACGAATCACTTGCAACAATTCTTGTCGACATTGAAAAATTGGCAAATATTCGCGCTGTTGTCGAAGCGTCCGCGTTTTTGCAAACACACTAACAGCTTTTTGTTTTTTCAAATGTGTTGCAAATTGTGAATCGTGCTTGTAACTCGTTGCTTCATCATTTTTATCGTTTTCATCCTCTGAAGTTACTTCTTTCTTGATGCCGATAGCGTCGCCCATTCGCGAACCACCAATCTCCCAAAATCGTTTTCTCATCTTGTTCTGTTCACGTTGCTCCCGAACTTCACGCAATAGCTCACTACCCTTTCTCGCACAAACAGCCATGTCGGACGTTGGATCTTTTACGGTTGCGACCATTTCAACTTGAGTTGTGAACGCTACTCGACCATCTAAAAATGGTGGTTTCGTACTGTGGACCATAATCTGTACTCTTGCGTCCACTTCGTCATCAAAAGCCGTTGCTACTCGTCCAGATACTACGACACCACTGGTTAATAATCGATTTGTCTCCCATGCTTCTTGATCGGCAGACAACGCTGATGCTCTAGCTGACATGCCTTTGAGTTTATTATCGCCTCTTGCTCGAGATTGTGCAAGTTTTTCTTCTAATGCTTTAAATTTTTCTTCACTGCCAAGAAAAACGTGACCTTCATGTGTCTCGACTCCACCAGCGTCATCGTTTAAGTAAAATTCGCGATCAAAATCTTCTTCAACTTGATCGTCGTATTGCTTTTTAGGAGCTTTATGTCGCTCTGTACGTCGAGTACTTTCTTCAATATGAGGCGATATATCTACTGTGTTTTTATATGTGCTAGTAGTACTGCTTCTGCTGCGCTTACGGTTTTTGGAACTGTTAGATCGTCTCTCATCGCTTGTTTTGGGCGTCTCTGACTGTTCTGAACAATCTTGATAGCTATTCACACTTTGAAGACGCTCTGGTGCATCCCAATCACTGGAATTAAGTCCTGATGCGTGTGAAGATGATATGTTTCTTCGTTCAGGATAACTAGATGTTGTTTTGCTGCTTCTCGGGGTCTGTTTACCACGTTCGCGACGCTTTTCAATCGCGAGTTTGTCAAGTCCTAACACAGACTTGTAAGACTTTGATGATTCGCGCTCAAACTTGCGCGAATTCGTCGCATTCAGCTTGTCGGAGCTACGATGGGAAAGCTGAGATCGATACGAGATATTGGAGTTTCTACTGACGCTACGGCCATGATGATGCCGCGACTGTGACCGTCTTCGATTGCGATTGTGTTTGTTATGAGAAGAAGGTGAGGAGTCCCGCTCCTGAGAATGAGAACGACTGCGCCGAGACTTGTCCCTAGAGCGAGCCATTGGTATCAATTTTATCGATTCTCCTTTATAAGAGATTATGTAATATTTCCCGTTTTTAATATATTCTCAATTTGAACATAGACCTGACATTCAAGAAATTACAGCTTTGAATTGTGATGAAAATTCTTGTTCACACTACATTCGTTTCCAGTACATCTAGTGTTGTCATTTTGGAGTAGGTAGTTGAGGTATTAGCTCGACCTTATTCACAAGCTCGTTCCATAGTTTCTGTCCGTCAGTCGTGATTTAAAATTTCACAAGTGTAAGCGAGCAATTGACGCCGAAAGGTGCGACCGAAAAAGTGCAGCAGGGGTGCCGTGGCTCTGACTCGTACACTCCACGTTTATTCCTAAAGCGCGAAACTAATATCCTTTCAAGTACTAAGGACTAAATACTGCTCAAAGCTTTATATGTAGTGCAAACCCCACGCCTAAATTAAGAAGGTACTACCACTAAAAAACGTATATCAAACGGAACAGAACCAGGATTCTCAAAACGGCACTTAGGAGCTTCGCGCTGCGCTCGAAGGAGAATGATGTGTTTACAGATTGGATGAGAATTACATTATTGTGACGCCCTCCTTCACCAAAACGAAAATTCCCGTTGAGATCAAAATACAGTTGCTAGTCTTCCACTGCCACACTGACCACCTTTAATGAGAGCTCGCACAGCACTAGATATTTCTTCGTAACTGTTTGCTCAAAAACATAGTTTGTGGAGCTGCCGAGGGCGACAAGGCGGCTTCGCTGTATGTCAAGCGGGTACGTACACCAAACCTTGGAAAAAAGACTAGTGGTGTGAATGTGCATAGATAAACCAACATACAGGTCACTAGAATCTCGCCTCTTTAGACTTTCATAAGTAGTACACATGCTGTGTTTAATTTTTATCAGTAGTGATAGCTTCGTTACTGCGCGGTTTCCTCATCTGTTATGTACATCTCAAAATCAGGGTAACGCAAAAGCGTATTATATAGGAAATCCTCTCAACCTCTATTTGAGCTACTGCAGTCAAAACTTGCGCACTAAGTGAAAATGTCACGTTTCCTTGCCTGTCTTACACGAACGAGATCAAAGGCTTGGCATTCGATTTGTAATTCATAATATATATATTGCTGTCAAGAGCCCTGTTCGTCCCCGTGTGTCAGCTGATACAGCAACCGGTCAAATTATGAGCTTGGAAAGGGCAAGTATCATCTTGCTAGGGAGAAATCGATACATTGAGTGATCTTGCCTATTTGCCTGTGGCGACGAAGTCGAATCTTACGTCAAGCTGTTATCAGCAATGGTTCCGGAGCAATTTTGCCAAAATAGTGCGTAGCGCTGCTACAGTCTCTCGGGAGCAAGAAGGTTGGAGACTCGGATAAGAAGTTGTCGTCGCGACTGCGTACACGGTTGCGCCGATATTGTATAATGGCCTGCTGTATTATAGCGCCGACTCAAAGGATACGCCACGAATTGTGGTTCCTTACGATGAGGATTCGAAGTGCCGTATTCTCTAGTACCTAAAACTTCCAAAAGATCTACCCTCCATTTCACTTTCTTGTGGTTACAGTCCTGGTGCTCCCGTCGACATATTATTCGGCCCATGTGGGAGTGAACTACCCCTTACTCACCAAGCAGACCTGACAGTGAGAGGCCCTCTTGTGGCTTGCTCGTGATCTCACTCGGTGATGACGGTTTGCCAACTTTCTTCGGTGTATGGTCGATATAGATACGGGTCAGATTCGAATGCTCTATATAAGCTGCGCCATAGTACGTAGTAAATTCAACAGCTCAGAGTTGCATCTCACACTTTAGCAGAGCGTACCTCAGTTAAAGCGGATGGTCCAGATGTTGCTTTGTCTCATTGAAGCGCTTCACATCTGAATGGCTCGACAAAGCGCAGAGTTGGCGCGGATTTAACAAGTCAGCATCAAACAAAGGTTGGAGTGTATGATCGTCGTAATCCTTAATTTTTAAAATGGTCCAAGCTAGCTGGATTGCGCATAAATATTAAAGTATCCGTGCATGGAGATACTCAATAATCAATAAACCTTGTCCAGTTCCATCTGCTCATGGAGTCTGCATGTTGCTTATGCAGATTGTGCTTTTCAGCCAAAGGGTCTCCAGCTCTGCGCCTGACGCTCAGAATCAAATTTTAAATTTGATACGAAGTTTAGCTGGGTCGATTTTAACGAGAAAAACTTCATAATGTCCGCTCTCCCAGCAAGCCTAAATTGCGGTGTCGAAAGAACATGGGGGCTTGCAAATCCTCCATGTTAATATGAGACAGGTTCTCGAGACTTCGAGGCATGCACAGAGATACACAACGCATCATCAATGTATAAGAGCCCTTTGTTCTTGTCATCTGCATAAGCTTGTGCTAATGGGGATACCCTGTCTGGCCACCTGTCTGTGTCTGGTCAGTGGTAGAAATGCCCAATCTGGTACACAACACCTTTATTGAAATTTTGTCATATCCACTGACGATTGCGGGTCTTGATATAGAAAATGGTCTCCAACAAGCAATATTGGCGGAACCTTTATTAGGAAGCGGCTTGGCTATACCCTCACCGGTATCGGTGTTGCTGAACGCAAAACGGTGAAGTTTTGCTTAGACGGTCCACTCGAGCCCATGTAGAAGCTTGTCGACTGATACATGCTGTATTAATCACATGGCGTTCACTGAGCAATTTTTCAGGGGTGGACACCATAGATATGTGCCTCGTACAGCATTTTGATTCTAGGATCTTCATCATCAATACATCTAGTTCCTTTTCGTACGCTAGTTCAATGCGTTGTCGCAGTCAAAATAAGCAAAATCGCATCCGCCACAGCATTAAGCCAATTTGGCAAGTACCTTACCTTGTCGACAAAGATTGATAACCGTTGTGCATTTTCGTTAAAGATGTAGTAACGACAGCGCATTGCGCAGCAATGTATGAGTTGTATCGACCGCTTAAGAAGCCAAGCAGGTGCACTACAAAATTGATGAGGACATTTTCATTGCAAGTAGCTCCTTGAAATGAACAGGATTGCCCTTTTCGACCACTTTAAGCTGGCGGGGCTCAAATGTGAGGATCAGTTTGCTCCCATCGGCATGTTCTCGGGGAACTGCTTAGCCTATCGCAAAGGCTAAAGTTTTACAGACGACATGGAATGGCCGATCTGGATTTGGAAGAGCCAGATCGGGGCACCCATGAGGCGTTTTTTAAGTCTTTAAGGCCACCTATTTGACGCCCTTATTAAGGAAATAAGTGATGAGATGTACTATTAAGGCATATTTTGAAAAGTCCTTGTGCAAGAAGTTGGTCGGGATAAGCCACTTCCTCCTAGTCCACTTGCGACAGAAAAACTGGTCAATCAACATTGATCTTTAACCTTGTTAGATCTCTCCAGATAAACAGCTTGGCAAGGTTTTCTTATCCACACCGAAGCCAAAGTTGTCTTAATTGACAGACATTTGATAAACGCAAATAGCAAAACTTATATTCATTGACAAACATTTGAGAAACGCAAACATATGAGTACTGCGTGCAAATCTTCTATGCAACTCCACCCATCCGAATCCTCGTGCCCCGCAAGACTATGGTGATTTTTTCAATGGAAAATAGAATTGTGCAAAGGATCGATGCGGCCAAGAAAGACATATCCTCGGACAATGAACGTCGCCTGTGCATTAGAAAATCTTTGTGACATATCAGCCCCTCCTAGATAATTAAGCTTGGATGTACCCGGAACTTTTACAAGCATTTGAAAAAAATATCATTTAGGCCACCTAGGTCAAGAACACTGAACATGGTGTTATTTCTATTTGCAGCACAAAGACTCACGAAAGCACCATGAAACGAGTAGTGTGTTTGGCATCATTTGCACCCGCCTTCAGCCGGTTCGTGACGTTCTAGCCACACCATACCGAGGATGAATTTGTATCTCAAAAATATGGAAAGAACGAGATATCGTGCCTCGCTGTCAAATGCCTGGATCCTCATAAAAAGATCAAACATAAAGAGCTTATAGGTTTACTTCTCCTAACAGTCGCCCGTCATACGTTAATCTTTGTATTAACTAGGACACACGACTTCACAAATCCAAAAATGTATAAAATCTAGAGCTTTGCGCCTTTTTCCTCCAAAAGAGAAGAGAAAGGGGTCCCATTGACCTCGATCTCTACAAGAATGCTTCCCCAGTAAGCCCTACTGAGTATACTGGGACTCATCAACTCCCCCCGAGCAATTTGCTCGGCTGACTTGCGTGGGGGCCTGACCGTTCGTAGCTCGCAGCTAAAGAATAAAGGGATAGGTTCCATGGATGAAGCACATGCAAGTACCGCGAAATCATCACAGCGGATACGAGGCCTAGCGCTTTCTCCACATCATAGCCGAGGTCCATTGCCATTTACGCTGACGCAATTTAATACCCCAGCTGGCCTTCACGGGGACCAAAAGCTGCAGTCTACATATATTGCATCTCTTCTCGAGATATAAGTTTGTCCTTCGTTCTAGCCGCACTCCTTCCAGGGAATGTTAACTATTTCAGCGTTCTCGAAAAGTTTGTGTAACTTTTATGAATCTTAGTCCGGTGCTAATACGCCTGGTTAGGCATGTTTGCGGCATATGTCGCTTCAAATTTTTGGTCAGAAAGTGTTGATGGAATGCACGTCAGTGCGCACTCTCGCGCGCAGCCATCTAGCTTGAAGATTGCAAGCGCGACGCGCGATTGCTCCATTTGAAGCATGATCACTATCATGGCCATTTTAATCTTCTCATCCAGAGGAAAACAAATTCTACTTCTCTGCCCTCAATTGGCTGGACACTCGGCATTTGCGGCCTCACAGAGAGTGACTTCTGCTCTCCCACCAACGACCAGTTTGGGCGTTTCTGGGGTGTCTCACCAGCGCATTCTCACAGCTGGCGAGCACCACTGGGTGGAAGATTTCTGCTTTTGACCCTTGGGTCGCTCGTTTACTGACCCCTTTCGGACCAAGAATAGACATTACTTGCCAGCAGTGTCTAGTTGTTCTGGAGACAAGTAATCAAACAAATCGTGCCTCACAGAAAAATTTAACCTTTCACTACTCAGTGGTGGGATAAACTACGAGCGCTATCAAGTGCAACGGGGTCGCCGCGCACCTCACTCTGATGAGCCAAGACTCAAAGACTCCACATTAAATTTGCCTAAAGCTGGGTCCGTAGCTTCACCCGGAGTGGAATTGAGAGCCTCTTTAGTAAGCTGCTTCCTAGCTTGCTTCGCTTTCTCAAGAGTGACATATATTTAGGATGATTTTATACTAGATATGTACTTCTTACTGCATACGTTAGTAGAGCTATCTTTAATGTTGACGTGAGGCAAAAAAGCCCCAATGTGCCATAGACTTTCGGAGTCCCAGTATCTTTATAACAGCTTTACTTGTACAGTCACAATTGCGTAAAAGTGCAATATGCGAATCACATTATACAGTGGCATAATTCTGGCTTGACGGAAGCCTAACAGATACGTACACAACATCGTTACAGCTAGGGCTCTACCGCGACAGACTTCCGCTTGTTTTAGTAAACATCATCTCGAATTAGAGTTTTGTGTTCTTCATTATCGGATGTTAACATATCACAGCTCCAGTCTTCGTTTTTTTACCTTTGTGTGATAAGATAATTTGCCTCTACACTCAAAAACTCCTCTATTTGTTTTTATACGAAGTCTTTAAAGCTTGCACCCATACTTACAATTCTTCGGCTAGAAAAAATATGTTTTTTTAACATGCGCATAACATGTCGTCACTCCTTTTTTTCAGAAGCGCAGCCGTGTAAGAATTTTGTTTCAAGAGCAATTATTGCACTACATTTTAGCCTTTAGTGCGGTTTCTGGTTATAAGACGCCAGGTTTGGCGCAAGCTTTGCTGTACACTTGTATCAAACCCAAAAAATCTCCTGTTCGCTCAAATTTTTATAACAGAATACCTTTCCTGATAGAGCTATGATATTTATGCGACACAAGTACCTGTCAAATCAGTATCCAAGAGTTGCTTTACCGTCACTCTACCACCAAGAGCCATATGCGAAGTATGCGGTGGGTCTAGTAAGACGAGCCAATGTCATCTGTAAAGTGCACTTTAAACATTTTTTAGGATTAAGAGAAGGATCACAGGACAAGACTAATTCTTCTGATTTCTTTCACTTCCTTGTTATCACGCTCAAAGGAGTTAGTATGTCATTAAGCAGTAAGCCTCACTTTGCAATGATTCGAAATACAATTTTATCATGCCAAGTAGTGTGTCTATACGCTAATCGAACGATAACTCCTAAGCAAGCTAAATCCCTTTAAGCGCCATTGTCGATGTACAAATGGAGGATGAACAAAAGTTGTCTTCAAACAGCCACCGCAGACCTATCCAAGTCCAAACGGCTGAAATTAGGGGATAAAAGAGAATTTGTGGGAATAGACCTTGATTTTTGTGCGTGTAAATGTTTTAGAACTTGCTCAAACACCCACGCGCACGCTTTGGCATCACCAGAAAACCGCGTGTGAAACGATCGGAGCTTTTGACAGTAAAAATTCGAGACTTTCGAGCTCGAAAGCCAGTATCATCAGAATTTACCGTGGTCTGTACAAATTGTAAATTTAAATTGATGAAGTATAACACTTTACAGGCTGCCCCGGTCCGTGTCGTAAAATTACGGAGTCTAAAGCTACGCTTTCGTAACCACGCGTAAAATCGCCAAGAATTCTTAATGCTGAAAGTCCTGATAATACACTAACAAACTCACATTGCGTGGGCGGTGTCCAGGATAAGATGATATTTTTTGGATCCTTAAGCCAACCAGCAAGCTCATTTAAAGGAATCTTAAATTGTGTGGAAGTTCCGTCGTACGAAAACACTGGACTTAAAGGCATTGCAAACGTAATTCCTGTAAATTGTGCACAAGTCGCACATTCCAGCTCGACCAAATGACCTGATCCGGCAAGATTCAAGTTCGCAGCATCAAAACTACCTTCCGCCGATGAAAGCACAAAGTCAAGAGAACCTCCATAGGCTGACCAATGGTTACCAAGAAATTTGGGTGGGGCGGTGAAGTACCACAACATTGAATCGTCACCAGTATCATCACGACGATGGATAACAGCGTCAAGTCCATAGATGTAATAACTTAATTGCACTCCCCGCGAAATTGGTTGATAGCGAGGTCTAGATTCGGCACCTTCTCCATTTGACACGATCCCCCAATTGTCGGTATCGAGGTCAAACGTACTGGACACTAGCGCATCACTTGTAGTTACAACAATGATACCCTCATTCGACGTCGTCACTCCATCAGTGACAGAATACCGAAATTCTGCAAACTGCATTCCCTTTAGTCAGCATAGTAACTATTGATCAATATTTCGCTTTGATTACTTTAGTATCCCTTCGTGGGCCTCCAAAAGGTGGACGCAGGAATATGATTCGGTTGTTCGAGCCTGTGACAGCCGTGGGTACAAATCGTATCGGTGATGCTGCACGCTTAGGGTCGTAGCTGCAAGACAAGAAAACAGTGTTGGTTATACTAAGCGCATGTATAGATTGATGTGAAGAAGAACCCGTATTTGCTGAAAATATCCGAAAGCTGGTAAATCTCTCCATTGAGCGGAAGCGATGTTATCGTGTATAATAGCTAAAAGCAGCGATTGTCACCATCAGCAACGATATTTCTACGTGTCTTGAAATCAAAACGTACTTTCGCCCCACTGTAATTGATACCTTTCAAATCCAACACCTTCTCCTCTCCAGGGTCGACGTGGTAAACCAGATTTCGCGCAATTAGCGTCTGACTGTGCCACTAACGTATTCAAAAAAATTTTCACTAGCTTTGAACTTCACAATATCACTTGTTTACCTTATTGCATAGGCAGATGTTCCCCACAAAAGCCCGAAAACAATTTGCATCGGAATTATTTTCCTTCTTGTCATACTTAGCATTCAACCGTCGGGTTAAGATATGCAACGTGCATATTGTGTCCTTTCAGCTGGTTCCTTATTGCTAATATATGAACCTCTATTGAGCTTTATTAGTAACTGTATGGTGCCGCTACAAATTTACACGTTCTCCTCGGCTTGGCCCTTTCTAAGCATGTTCATGATCGCATTGGCTGTGGCTTCATTCCGTGGTACACCGCGACCTATCATGTACATGTCTGCCAGATTTTTCCATGCCTCCATCGAGTCCTTCTCTGCAGCTTCCTGGTAGTACAAGAAAGCTTTTTCAAAGTCCTGCTCGACACCAATACCGTTATAGTAAAGAGCACCAAGACAGCAATAGGCGTTTGCGTGTCCCTGCTGAGCTGCAGCCATGTAAAAGTTGTGAGCCTGCTCATAGTCGCGCTCAAAACCATCACTTCCGTGATAATAGATATCAGCCATACAAAAGAGTGCGTCCGAATCACCAGCCATCATCGCCTTGTCTAAATACTCGAGGAATTTGGCTCGGTCTGCAGTACGATTATTGGCTTCATCACCCGAGCGATAGAGCTGGGCTAGATAATATAAAGCGGCCGGGTGGTTTTTGCTAGCCGCCATCTTGATCAGCATGAGGCCACTTTTAAAATCTGGCTCAATCTCCAATTCCTTGTCACCTTGGTGCAGTAGCATCCCCATAAAGAATTGCGCTGAAGTATCTCCTAGTTCTGCAGCATGAGTGAAAAATGGAATAGAAGCGCTTCTGTTGCCAATGAAGGGGGGATCAGCATGCTGCACACCCTCAAACAGCATCACACCAAGATTATATAGTGCATCCGGGTGCGGATTCTCGCCCTTTGTCACACGAGTATACCACGCGCTAGCTTCCAGTGCCATCGGCGGATCATGACTCAGACATAAGTTACCAAGTTGGACGGTTGCATCACGGTGGTTATTGTCAGCGGCACGACGCAGCCATTCGACTGCCTTTGTGGTATCCATGGCATTATTACCGCGGTCTTTTTCATCCAGCGGTTCAAATTTAATCTTTGGGTCAAGCAAGTGCTCCATCGTCTTTCCAAAGACATGATTTAACTCGCTTGATGTTACGTGCTGAACCACTGACGTATTCTCAGCCAAGAGTGCCGCTTTGGTCTGCTTTTTCCGCTCCTTCTCCATAAGATATTGCTTATAAGCGGCACGTGCACTCTTTCGAATCTCTTTAATATCATGAGTATCATCGAAGCGTCTCAAACGCTGACGATTTTCCTCAGCATCACGAATCAGCTCCTTATTTTTACGTTGAGCTTCGTCTTCGTTCTCCTCGACGTCTTCGTTTAACAACAATGATCCTAGCAAATATTGCGCATCAGGAACGTTGGCACACGCTGCTGCTTCTAAATGCCCCATTGCCTGTTGCAGATCGTCAGTATCCAGTAGTTTTTTTGCCTTTTCAAACACTTCATATGCCTGGAATTGTAGACAAAGAACATGTCAATGTCAATAAAATAAGTCAAGTTGAGGCTGAAGCGTACCTCTTTCTCGCTGGCAATTGATATAATTGAACGCGCATGAGCTCCTTTGTAAAGATGAGTTTTTTGAAATGATCGGCTATTGCCAATCACAAATGCATGACCGTTTGAAACCAGCGCCGCTACTACTCGACTTCTAGCTCGCCACATGCTAATTACGTTTACTATATTTTACAGCTATCTTGTGGTTTTGTATGAATGTACAACTCGTAATTATTATTTCAAACTTTATATTTCCAAAAGAAAATAGTCATTGCTCACAAAATTCATAGGAAAGATTACTCCACCAAAATGGGAAGAACTTTCATTTACATATTTCGGAAGTATATGCTTCTCTGATGGTGGATGCTGATATTTCAATCCACTTGAAGCACTTCCGAAAAAGACTAAATAGACTAAGATTATAGAGAGGCAAGTTACTTCCAAAAGAGCACAATGACTCTGATTCTGATAGAGTCAGGAGGTGGCTGGAATTCTATGAAAAGAAGCCGTAACTTTTGATGAGCAGTAGGTTTTACTATCGCAGGATTTTATCGTTGATGCTTGAAATTGCTCAGTTGACTCCGACATCCAATCGGCCATTAATTGTTCGAGGAAAAGCAATTATATCTGTTTGCCTCCAACAAATAAGAAGTAAAACCAATCTCAAGGGAAGCAAAGATCATTTTGTTTGCTAGCACACTTTGTTCTGAGTCTACACTTCAGTACCTCTGGTGTGTCTGGGTGTGCCCGCCGGTCTCTACAAAGTGTGTCAAACAAAAGGTGATCTTCGTCCTTTAAATCATAGGGCTGCTTAATTCTACTGTGCAGGACCCCTGGTTGGACGGATAGAGCTGGCACAGGGTTGTGTAGATAGAGTGATAAACTCCTCGCGCAGTGAGTGCCTCGTGGATCTTCTGGTATGTACGCGATGACTTAATAAAAAGCTCGCAGAGGATCAATCGACTAAGGTGTAGATGCACTACGAGTGCTACCAAGTGCAGCGGGGCTGCCGTAGCTCTTTGCTTAAAGGAAGCTAAGATAAGGTCACCGACCTTACGTTTTATATTAGATTCAGTACAAGTGTAGCGGAGCGAAGATTGCTATCTCCAAGAGTACCCAAAATCTTAACCCAAGGCAAATATACTCTTCCCTTCGAAATCCTAACTGCTTTCTTTTGTTTTATTTGCGGCAGAGCTGCCTGTATCTAAATCTATAGATTTTTCTAATTATATTGCAAAACCTAATTAATATGCATAATTACTGACAGTCCCGCCAAGTCAGTGGCTTATGTTAAGGTGTAGCCACACTATTGGACGGCCACACCATCTTGTGCGACCCACCCCTTTATATCAAGGTACGTGTTACCCCGTCATAGAGAAGGTACCACTGCCGAGTAGTGCTGGCAAGAATTGTGGCGCCAACTTGTGCTTTGCCGATAGTGAGAAAACCTATGAAGGTTCTCCACGGTCATAATGTCGGTGCTACCGAGCGCGATTTTTAAGGGTGCAAATAAGCGCATGCCAATGAACTGCCAAAATCTACAGGCCGGCGCTGAAGAAATTTTCGCGTTGACACGGTTTATAAGTGCGTGTGTAAGTATTTGTATATTTAAACATATTGAATCATCAGTACATAGCTCACAGCGAGCAGTCTGTCATTTGTTTTTGTGGAATTGGCTGCCGAAAAGAATATCATGTGCTTCGTGCAATACGCTTTATTTAGAGTCTACTTATATGTACCGCTGCCATGGTCTGTCTAAAACGTCCGGGTAGTAAAACAGCAAATTTTGGGAAATGTAGCGATATAAACGCACTACACAGTCGTTAGATAAAACGACATGACACCTTTAAATTCTTTGTTTAATAAACCATTCAACCATGTAGATTATATGACATAGGACCGTACGCCTTACATGTTTCCTTCTCGATGCAACGTCACCATAACAATCCAGCTCGTACACGAAGTATGCTCGCAAATGTCCAATGTGGATGTCTACGTCCAATATTCCGTGATATGTGATATCATGGAAGAAAGCATTGACAAACTAAGCTCGTGCATGGGCACTCCAATCGGCCGTAGACACGGAATTTGTACTCCGCCATGAATACAACGCCATCGTATATTCAGGTGGGTGGATGAACACGGACGCGTACCGCAACGGTCCGGAGTCAGCTGAATGTCGCTAGTGCGAATAACAGACTTTAAGTTAGTTTTTCGGAGGAGAATGTCACTGGCTCCCATGAGCAACTGATAGTTCCCAGCAAAGACTACGGTACAAAGTGCAACTGATTGTGCTGTTCTGTAGCGCGTCCTTTAAAGGAATTAGTATCCAGGTGGGAATTGTGTCCGCTTTAAGTTTATTGTATCCATACAAGATCCTCCATTTGCAATCAGTTTTTCTACCACAGAAAGTCGTTCGTCTTCAGTCTCGTTGCGTTGCGCCATATTACGCTCCGCTTGAGGGAATGACATGGTTTGCGCAACTCTCGCATAATGAAAGACTTTGCAAAAACTTGTTGACGAGTAGTAGCGAAGCCATGTAGCTTGTGGAGTAGGTGTTTAACGAACGATACCCACCGTACCACCGATGAGATGAATCAGGCTCAGTTAGCTGATCCTGCCCGTTGGTAAGTGCAAGATATGCAATAATTTTTATAGAAGAGATCACGACGTGATCATGATAGTAATCCGCTAGAATCTGATTGCCGCAACGCGGTGCTCTATCACACCTATTTTTGCGAGCTTTGTACTCCAACTAATAGCAAAATCAATGCTAAAAATGCTACATGAACGCAGCTCCACTAATCTAGGCTACTAAGATTGAAGAGTACCGCCTTCACATGTAACAGCAGCGGTCTGGTAGATCTGTGTTCTTGACGTGGATCGAACCTTTACGCTGACCAAAGTGCCGAATTATATATGACTGAATTCTTGCACTAGCTTGACATGCTGCTTTACCTGTCTCCCAGGTATACGGGCCAGCTTCAAAAAATCAGACGTCATACTTGAGCTTCATTCAGTCGTTGACTTTGCTAAGCACAAAAGCATGACCCAGATGTTGGGGTAGACTCAAATTATTGCAGTCTACCATCCCTGCTCGTCTCCATTAGCCGGCATATACAGCTACCGACCAAGTCTCAAAGCAGAAACAAGACCGTTTTCATTTACTAGTGGAAGGTGGATTACGATAGGCAACCCCGTCTTCTCTCCTGATGAGACAACGACAAAGAACACACCAAGGTGTATGCACATCTGCGCTGGTAAGCAAACTCATTTTTGCCGGTGTTATAAAGTGAGAGTCTTTCTTCCACCACCAGATACGAAAAACAGTACTGGTGATCTCGCCGGCCAACACATGAAAGTGGGTCACCTTTTTCATCGAACAGAGCCGGCGCAGTACAACATTTCAAGGCTGGATCGCATGCTTTCTTCCAGGTTTGAGGAAATGCAGCTGAAAGGTTCAGTTTCTCCGGCTTTCAGCACCGCCATAAAAATGAGTGGTTTGGGGGTTTTATTTGGTTCAGAGGTGTATCGCTGCTCAAAGCTTGTAGATTAGCTACGGGGTATGGTGGCGACCTGGCGTCTTCTTCAGGAAACCCTCCACACCAAACTGTCTTGTAAGAGCGGAGGCTTTACTGAGCGCATGAGGATACTTTTCAGTTTTTCCAAAAATTTTCGTGTTCTCTTTGGGATGTGACAGAGTAGCTTAATTTTATCCAACCGACAACCATAAACGGTAGGATGGATGTGGTCGCAAATTTGTCGTAACGAAGGATGACACTGCGTGTGTAGTAAGGCTATCAGCTTTTAAAAAAGATCTTTTCGCTTCATATTCGCGCAATTCACGTGAGCCTCCGATAACCACGCGTCGTGCTGCATATCCCGACACTCAGCCATAGCATCGCACACTCAGCGCACGATAAATTGAGGATTTGTTTTGTTGAGACTGAAGATTAAAATACAATATTCCATTTGCTACATGGTGTTCCCTGGCAGTAATCGACAAGTCGAGCCGTATTGACATACTTTCTCCACCTCGACCAGAGTCACGCAAATTAGATAGAAATAAAGTATTAAAAATATACGAACTCACTTTGAAGAACATATGAGATCCATTATAAAGTCGTCTTCCTCCTCACAATCAGTGCTCTGTGAGTGTCCTCGAAGACGGTCTCATCCATGACAGATAATAGGCACCGCTCCTCTTATGAGACCAGCCGTAATAAACTGGTAATTCTACTATCTTGCAACAGTTTGCAAACATCCCTAAGAAATAAACCTTCAAGATGAACGATGGCTTTTGCCTCGGTAAAAGGAACAGACTCACATTCCTTCGTAAATATTCGACTACTACATACACGAACAACTCAGATTTTCCGCCACAAATATATGCAGCATTACTACTCTGCAAGAGAAACAGGTCACATCGATGTATAACTCAGCAGTCTTAGGCCATCGTAGCCAGGATAGACCATTCTGACAGATCTCAGAATGTAACCTTTCTGTTTTTAGCTCACAGTCAACTGTCTCCATCCGCTCTGCCACAGGATATCCAGTTTATAGCTGTCACATACATCTTTCCAGAGGCAAAATTTGCAAAATGCGACATATGGTCGCTCATTCCTGACTTAGCAGAAATGCTCTTTGAAGAGTGCGATTGAGTGTTGCCGTTTTTCACTGAGACATCGACTTTATGACTTTCAATCGTTTTTAAGGCGCTCAGAAGCATCGTTGCATATTAATTGGCATTATCATGGTTCGTGTATCAGGACGTTGCAGATTCATACGCGCGCCAAAAGCACTTCTGTTATTTGTCCGAGCTTACTTCATGCCTCACCACAGTTCCACTGCGAGTGTGCCTAATGTTACAGATTCCATGGCCCATGACGATCCAGTCACAGCTCACATAGGATTCTCGCAAGACTAGGTCGTCTAAATGTTGGGTCTATCATGAGGCAACCCTCCACGCTGTCAAAGTCTTCGATTTAGAGAGGCACAAAAGAGACTATGCCACGATCCCATCGCACGATGCACGGAAATCGTATCTGCTTTTTATCAAATACGCGTTGTGCGTAATCGCATGGCCCGTGCAAATCTATTGTGACTTTCCGTTTATAAAACGTCCGGACGCTGACTCGATAAACAAAATCAAAAGATATGAGCTCCGCCATTCATCGATGTAGGCGCTCCCATCAAGGCTGATACTGAATCACGAGGTACAAAACCTATTTCTCCCCAGTAGGCCACCCTGTGCCTCTTGAGGTTACAACACTTCCCATGAAGAGATTGTCGGGCGACGAACTTGCGTGTGGGATCACCATTACAATTGGCTGTAAGAGAATAGGACTTGCTGGGTGCATAATTTTGAAACTATCACATGCGGGTACCACGGTGCTGCATGACAGTCTATATCTTTCCACTCGACAGGGCAGCGATCTATCGCCGCTTGAATGCCCGTTAAGCCTTCAACGCTCATAGCTCAAGCGATTTTTGCGGCCCGGAAGTTGTACATTACACTTATTCGGACACCCAGCACATCCAAAAATGCTGGTGCAACTTGCACCAATTTAACGGTGCTTGATGGTACACGATGCGCGTGATTAAGAAATGGGAGTACCTGCAACTCCTGTCGCTCCGACAATTGCCATGTCGATATACCTCGTCGAAAGAGAGATCTCCATTTTCACGCACGTCCATCTAGATTGTAGCCTTCTAGCAAAACGCGTTGATACTTTGTCGAGAGTATGGTCAATCTTCATGGCAATTCTAGACTCTTTTGCCTAGGAGAATAACTACCCTGGAGGGCTAGATACTTAGCAGTGGTCGGCACTCGAAGGAACAAGTCGTGCTTCCATCGACGGATAGTAGATGTATTGCTGGAATTGTATTGATAGCGTATTCTCATAGTAAGCGCCCACGGACAAGAAAAAAACTTATAACGCTCTGATCCGCGAATTGTTTTTTCTTCGGACCAACCACAAGCAGGATCTTGTGTGTCTAGCTGTCATCTCGACAGATAGTCGACCGACTTGTTTACCTGCGCCACAGAGAATATGTTCAGTCTATCATGATCTTGTCGTCAGATCGATGAAGAGTGCGTACGATTGCAGCGGAGCTGCTGTTCATGTCGCACAAAGCAGAACGTGACTCAGCGAGTCCCCATAAACTAACAGACAAGAAGAGGCTTGTACGCTTCGGAAGCGGGGTCGAAACCTTCTAAAATAACCATATACGCTTTATTTCCAATTGTACATGTATTTTAAGTTGAGTGCAGTCCAAACTAACAGTATATGTATCTCTTTATCTTTCTGCGATAATAAAGCGCTACGTTCTAAACTGGCAGCCCTCGAGTTCACCGTGCCTCTCATTTCCCCTTATTTGTATCAGTATCTAATCATTATTTTTTATCGTAACACCATCCTTTCGTATTTTGGAATTTGTCGTCGTGTCTAGGGGGCAATAGTGAAAGGTTTACGTACACCACAATAAGGGGTGTACCTCATTACAAAGCGGAATTGATGATTCAAGATATCTCCATATGAGATAACTTTTATGACGTCGACCGCAGGGGCACATGGTTTTGAGGCTCGTTGCATCACGCGCTAAGGTAAGCAGTTGGTTAGGGACTCCCGGCGAGGTTTGTTCGCGCTGAGATTACACTGATGCGTATCTGTGAAGTTAAGAGACAGCTCATCGCTTATGACTTAAACGGAGCTCAGCTCTCTTCGGAATAACGGGTATCCTGTTATGATGGGTGTATATATTACACAATAGTCTTTTGGTCAAGTACAATGGTAATGGGTTTTGATATCAGAGTGATGACATTGCGAAAGGAGATGTTTGTGCGACATGTAGGCCGTCAGCCTCACGCAATGCATTGATAAAGCTTGTTGATACAGATAGCAAGCGTATATGCTAGAAATCACTTCAAGCTTGATTTGAACTAAACGATACCACTGTTCATTTGGGCAAGTGTAAAGTATTAGGTACTTGAGAGGATCTGGGTTCCACGTCCTAGGAGCGGCCTATGAGGCCATCTGCTGTTTAGTTGTTGAGAGTTTAAGACTCCTCTGTGCAAGGTATAGCCAACCCGTTGCCAACACAGCCTTCGGAAGACATTTGCGGTCATCATATCAAATACTCGCGACTACAGTTGCCCATCTTCTGTATAACTACTTATACCCATCGTTTGGGTAAGTGCTTATGGGATTCAATGTCTCAAAAGTGCGAATAGTACAACAGCTTTCTATCAAAATTTGGGTGGATCACTCCATCTTGGCTTCAAAAGGTTTATATGAATATTTGTCAGCGTTAAAAATGTAGATCCAGCTGCGCAGAGGTATCGGCGATCTCGGTACATCTGTGCTGCGTAAAAATGCGCGCTGAGTTGAATGTATGCTCAGAAATGCCTGTGGCTTAAAATGAATCCTGTTTGATTTAATCATTATATGACCTAAAAAGAATTTCTTCAAGCTGGTTAAATTATAAAGAATGGCATAATTCTGGAACAATCGATTAAAATATTACGTAGCACTTATTTGTCGCTCGAAAGCTATAATTATCAGGTAATGTCTACTAAGTTTCATAATTTGTCGTCAGAAGGTCGCTTGAACCTGGACCGCATATCACTTCGTTGGCGACGATCAATTCGCATTTTACCCGCAATTCAACACTTCATTGCAATGGTACGAGATTTACATATAATACGCTTCGTATGCGTTCTTGTCATGATCGTCCATGCTTACATTGTGTATGTCGCTATAACTTGGATCTATCATAGAGCTCGCTACGTAAATTGATTCCTTTCGGCAACCGCGTGCTAGTCAAGCGTTTTGAGCCAGTGGCCAAGACGGCCAGTGGCATTTACTTGCCGGACGCCGATACGAAGCAACAGAATGAAGGCGAAGTTGTAGCAGTGGGTCCTGGCGCTCGTGCTTCTGATGGTACACTCATTGCGGCTCAGAGTGCTGTTGGTGACAAGGTATTGTTACCTGAATACGGTGGCAGCTCTGTAAAACTAGGTGACAAGGAGTTCTTCCTTTTTCGCGATGAAGATATTCTTGGCAAGCTCGAGTAGATTTAGGGTCTCAGTTAATCGCTAGGTGAGCTTGCTCGAGGCTAGATTTATCCCAACGTCATTCGAGTCACCTAGGCTGGTGACATACAGTCAGACCTTCTGACGTTTTTGACGACATGGCTATTAGAGAGGACGAGATAATAAAGTATGTTAACTTGGTTTAATTCGGTGTGATTGATTAAGTCCATGCAAATTGCCATATAGTGACTATCAGAGGTTCTTGTCAGTGAATGTCAGAAGCTCCCAGGACTATGGAAACAAAGAAAAGCTGTCAATGTCTACGGACTTCTCAGCTTGATTCTCATTCAAAGCAAAAACCTTATCGAAAGGCAATTATCTGTCAGACGCAGCAAATTCTTGCAATAAAGAAAGTAGCACAGCTCTGCGACTATAGATCTTCTGGTTGGAGTGGTGATATTACTTATAGCTTCTGGCTAGCATCTAAATGCAAATTTGCGACACATTACAAACGAATTACGCAGATGGATAAATCGATATCTCGCAATTCGCGATGCATAGCGTACAGCGATCTGACAATCCGATATCCAGCTTAGACCACCAAATTAATAGGTGGATGGCTCATTGTAACATGGGCGAGGTTGACAGAATTGAAACTAAATGGCAATTGACTCACCTTTTCGTTTCTATCACTTTTTTAAAACTCTACCAACCAATTTTCATTAATCATCGCTTCAAATGTGAATTTCAGCATTCGACGACTCTTCTAGAACAGTATTATTCAACAAAGATATGATATTTCGGAGGATTAGCCAGATATTCGGATCCAGAAATGACGTATATAATCGCATACAAGGGAAATGTCGTGCACTCGGTAACATTAGGTGAGCTGGAAGTGCTCCAGCCTGGACTTGTGGGTGTTAATGAGCATGGCGTGATTGTATTTGTCCGAAATCTGGACCTATGGCCTCTTGATACACATCGATTTGACGAATTAGTGGACCTAGGAGACCACCTCTTGATTCCTGGATTCATAGATGGCCACACACACGCATCTCAATATTCATTCGTTGGCGTCGGTATGCACGTGCCATTGCTTCAATGGTTAGAGACGTACACATTTCCTTACGAGTCGAAATTTCAAAGTCGAGACTATGCTCGAGATGTCTATGAGAAAGCGGTTCGTCGTCACCTTCATAATGGTACAACCACTTGTTCCTACTTTGCTACAATTCATCTGGAGGCGTGCAAGGTGCTGACAGATATTGTAGAGGAAATGGGGCAACGAGGGTACATTGGAAAGGTCAATATGGACCGTAATGGAACCTCTGAATTACAAGAGGACACGCAGAGTTCCGTCAATGAAACACGAGAGTTTGTGCAATACGTAAATAACAAAAAGAGTGAATTGTTGACACCTGTTATCACGCCACGATTTGTCCCGACTTGTTCTTCCGAGCTAATGCGAGCTTTGGCTGAGATCTCAAACGAGCACAAGCCTAAATTGCCGATACAATCGCATCTAGATGAGAATCAAGACGAGATTAGTTGGGTGAAAAGTCTGCACCCAGAAAGTAAAACGTATACGGATGTCTATTTGAATCATGGACTTCTTCATGAAAGAACGTATTTGGCGCATTGTATTTGGTGCAGCAAAGGAGAGCGGGACATTCTGCGTGACAAACAGACGGCAGTTATTCACTGTCCCAATTCCAATTTTTCACTTTCTAGTGGCATTTTAAACGTACGTCGATTGTTGCAAATAGGCATCAAAGTTGGACTGGGTACGGATGTGTCTGGGGGATACTCACCATCAATGCTAGACGCAATTCGCCAAGCCATTATCGCTTCCAAGCTTGTGTCTATGGGCAATGGTAGCTCCAGCGACGAGGTCAATGACATTTTACCGAAACCGCTTACATACGCTGACGCCTTTCATCTTGCCACCGTTGGAAGCGCAGAAGCTTTGGGTCTTAGTGATAAAGTAGGCAACTTTATGATTGGTAAGTCATTTGACGCATTGGTTGTTGACCCATATGCTGCCAACAGTCCTATCGACGAGACCCTGGACCAAGATGAAGATGTTGATGTGCTTCACATGTTTCAAAAATTCTTGTTTCTTGGCGACGACCGCAACATTGTCAAAGTCTTCGTCAACGGGCGTCAAGTAAAGAATAACAATATAAATTAAAGTCGATCAACATGAACAGCTTCCGCTTTTGTTCGAACATTTTGCGACTAGCTGACATCAAATCGAGCTCATCTATAACCCGCCCGAGTGTCAATGAGGATAGTTTCACTAATGGAATATATGTGGAGCCTCTCTGTCTACTAACCTAAACGTGCAAAATCGTTAGCTAGACATTTTTCAGCGCCTTTCGCTTACCGTCGATTGCACCGAAGAGTCATTCAAGCCTCATCCCAATCTGTCAAGTCAAACTGATCAGGATACTTAGTTACTCTTTGGCCTTGTTTTTTACGACAAGACAATCCTGACCTCTGGAATCATCCCAGATATATCCATTGGTGCTGACTGCAGAAAATTGGCGTCTATGGTACCACCAACCTTGCTGCGTGATTCCTGAAGAGCGAAAGTGCAATTGTATACAGAAAAACGAAAAAAAGATCATCAGCAAACCTGAAATCTATACGCAAGATTCATCAGAATCATGTCATGAGCATACTTAGTCGTATAGATTGTTATACGCCAAGCAGTAGAAACGCATCCTTACAACCTCCATCGGCCCACAGCGAATAGTCCGCATGAAATTACGATAAACGTTCACATCCACATTACCGCACTTGCTATACCATTCATTCTAGCACAACACATCCTGTTGTCATACTACATTTGAAATGGACCTATGTCGAGTTGTAAAGGTGACTTTGCCATCTTCAAAAATGGACTGAGGCTTGCTTCTGGGATCACTGAAGCCGTAATTGACATGAAAAATAATGTTCTTGTAATTGTTGCCACCTTTGGTGATTAAGAGGTCTTAGCACTTTTAGGACCATTTCAATCCTAACTCTTCCAGATTAGATCAGTTTGTACGATCCAAGCCAAATGACTGGGGCTTTTTTTTTAAACGGGAATAGGCGTGTAGCCGCGACCATCAGTGCTAGAAAACTTAGCTGTGAGGAGAAGAATATTGACGTAAAAGTTGTTGTCGTTTGTCAATAGGAAGCAAACCAAATTCGCTCACAAAATGCTTGCAAATATCTAACCTCACAACAAAAATATTCTATTGAAGCAGCGTGAGACTACCATATATCAAATACAGAAGAAGGCCCGCAGATAGTAGCGGTGAAAAAGAAGAAATGTCTCGCAGTGACTGCATCCTCTGCAACAGTAAAAATTCGGCCGCCGTATACCAGCCGTATGCTTAGACCTTCGAGTCATGCCGTTGTGGATGGCAATAAAGTTTAGTGTCAAAATTGCCTTTCAGACCCGATTCCGCCAATTCATCTGTTGCGTCACACGTTCACCGTCCACTTTCTTCGAAACTTCCATCAAACTTGCAACTTAAACTTTGAGTCTCTTTTCTAGCAACTTTTTCCCAACTTAATCGTCATCAGAGCTTTTCAGATGGGAGTCTCGAGTTCTCGAAGATAGCTTAAGGTGCTATCATTCGACTAAGATCCAATAGGATAAGTGATGTCTCCAAATGTCACCATTGTCATGTCATCGAAATGCAAAGACCAAAAGCGTATTTTGATCAGTGAATAAGCAAGATAGTGTGTAAGCCATGGAACAGAATGCGTTAAGAACATGTGTCGTAAAGGAATTTGTCTAAAAAGCATTAAAGTATTTTTGCACATAATTTGTCAAGTCCCGCGTTTGTTGAAAATACGAAAACGGCTCACCTTTAACAAAGAATATATTTTCACGAAATGTCATGCTGTGCTTTCGACGACAAAGATATGATGTTATTTGAAAGATTCGGATCCCGAAAATATAGAATCACATCTAGACAAATTACGTGGATAAAACACTTGTATACATTTAGACATATACTAAACAAATTGCTACACGACACATGTTTTTGACGCATTCTGTTGCATGGCTCATCTTCCTCACTGATCGAGATGTTTTTTATGACGCTTTTGGTCTTTGTATTTCGATGACAAGACAATGGTGACAGATGGAGTCACCACTCATCCTAAGAGGATCCTCGTCGGATGGTACCACCATTCTTACCGCTTGATCCTTGAAGAGGGATGCAATTTTCTATATGAACAGAATAAACAGGAACATTAGCAAACCTAGAATCCAAATTCTAATCTCGTTAAAACCATGTCGTTAGCTTACTGTAGGACTGCCAAACGGTTTTTCCATTCACGCCCTGGAACGCTAACCAGTAGAAACGCATCTCCTTACACCCTCCATTGGCACACGACGAATAGTCCACTGGAAACACCGATTTGATGTTCACATCCACATTACCGTACTTGCTATAGCAGTCATCTTCGTAAAGCACTTTTTTGTTGTCAAGCCAGATCTCACATGGACCTGTGTGAACTATAGCACGTGAGAAGGTGGCTTTGCCATCTTTGGGAATGGGCTGAGGTTTGCCTTTGGGATCACTGAAGCCACATTTGGCGCCAAAGGCAGACGTATCCATGAGAGTCTTGAGGTCCTTGAATTTGTTGGCAGCCTTCAATTTTTGAAAGGTCTTAACACTTTTTTGGGTGTTACCATTCCAATCCGAGCTCTTCCAGAGGGGGTCAATTTGCACAATCCAAGCCGAATTAGCAGATCCTTTAAATTGCGCTTGGGGGATAAGCATGTAGCCATGACCATCAGTGTTTGAAATGAAGGTTGCGAAGATAAGAACAGTCGACGCAATTAGTGCAGTTGTTGTCATTGTCGTGTAATAGTTGTTGTCGTTGTCAGTTGGAAGTCAAATTTTAAAGTGATAAAGCTTGATGGATAGCAAGCTCAAAAGACAGCGAACAGTTTCAAAAAGTCATATGTCATGATGAATTTACATCTTGAAATTGAGAACTAAAATTTATGCTAGAACTAACGATCAGACGCTTGGTTGACTAGCTTAGAGTTAAGCATAGGGCACAATAAAGTTGCACTGTTTTACTTGACGTACTGCACATCTTTACAAGGTCGAAAAAGAAGTTTCTCTATACTGGCAACAGTGTGGATTAATAGCTGAATATTTTACTATAAAGAAGCTATATGCTTCTCACACTCCATAAGTTTTTGTTTCCCAGCAGCTACCGCGACATTACCATGCAAGTCAAAGTCAGTCAACATGAAATGCTTTATTTTTAAGTAGGAAACCCAGTTGGCACTTCTTTAGAATACACGCATTTTAGCAAACCCCATATTTGGAGCAGCATTAACTTTAGAAATATCTTCACACCATAGTCAAAATTTGTGTAGCGGATGCTACATCTAAGTCGTGGTGACCACATTGCTTATAGTACAATTGCGGCTCTTAGGCCGCTCTCTATCTCCGATGAGTAAGCCCATCTGAAAAGCTCGAATATCATAAAACTTGACTCCGATGACGCTTTAGCTGAAGAAAGGTTACCAGAAAAGGGACTCCAAGTGCTTGCATGTTTGAGATGCAATACTTTGACAAAAGTGGTTGAAAAGAAAAGGTGAGTCGATTGCTGTTCAGACCCGATTCTGCCAAATCATCTGTTTCCTCGCACTTTTGACGTGAAATTTTTTAGCCATTAACAACAGTATAATTCGATGATCTAAGCATATGCGGCTGTTTTACATGGTGGCCGACTTTTACCTTAATTGCTACTGCAGAAGATGCTGTCAATGCGAGACGTTTCTTCTTTCTCACCACTATCTTCATCTGCATTCAATCGTGTTGCAACACTCGCATTGCGATGTATTGATATATGGTACTCTCACGCTGCTTCAACAGAATATTTTTGTAGTGAGGTTAAAGAAATTTGCAAGCATTTGTGTGACCGAATTTAGATCGCGAGGTTTACTTACTATTGACAAACGACAATGATTTTTGATCAATCACAATGACTATTTACGTCAGTATTTTCTCCTCATAGCCTTATTTTCTATCACGGATGGTCGCGGGTACAAGCCTGTCTTCGAGGTGCAGTTCTAATGCCACACTCATCTGGTTTGGATAGCACGAACTGATCTAATCTGGAAGAGTTAGGATTAAAATGGTCCTAGAACTGCTAGGACCTTTCGAAAATTGAAGGCTGCCAACAACTTCAAGACTCACATCAACAAATCTTTCTCAGTGTCAATTGCGGCTTCAGTGCATTCCCCAAGAGGCTTTAAGGATGCGTTTTTCTTCCAGAGTGTGAATAAAAGCCAGTTTAGCAGTCGTCATGAAATCTCGTTGATGATGCTTGAGTATGGAGATTATGCTTTACAGGTTCTACTATTCATTTTTTTCAAGAATTGCTTTCTTACAATATTGAAAACTCCAGAGGTCACCATTGTGTTGTCGCCGAAATGCGCTGACCAAAAGCGTTGTAATAAAGCATCCCGAGCAGGTTTGAATAAGCATATTGATGTACAGCTCGAATGGCTCTGGAGTGCAAACGGCGACGGGACGTGAAGCGTTTAAAGCATGTCGAGCAATAACATATGTCTATAGATATGCATTTGTGCGTTATTCAGAAGATTTATTGGGCTTAATAATTTTTTACATTCGCGTCCATATTCAAAATCCCGAACTATGACACAAATCGTGAACGTCTGTGACGACATCGGTCTAAAACTAAATGCATTCATAAGTGTCCTTTAACGCACCCAGGGGTACAAACCATCAATACTGGAGGCAATTCATCAAGCAGTCATGGCACCGAATCCGCTTACATACGCCGACACTTTTCATATTGATATTATTAGAAGCAGCTGCGTAGGATCTTAATGCAATGTAAGCTACTTCATGTTCTGTAAATCATTTGGCCTGGCTGATATGCTGCCAAACATTCGGTGATCAGACTCTCAAACAAGATGTAGTTGTTGATCTGCTTTCCGATATACAAAAGTTTGATTTTTTGGCAACGTCTATAACGTTATCAGTGACTTTGTCAGTGGGAGTCGTGTCAAGGAAAAGATCAAAGTCATTTAATATAGTAGATAAGCCCAGGTGATTTCTTGATTTTTCGATTGTGAGTATTGTCTCTGCTGATGTAAAAAATAGCACGTAAGCGGTAGATGGAAAAATGCAAAGTATCTAGGTTGATTGCAAGGTTTTAAAACGTTTTTGCTACATTAAAATCTAGTCCTTGATATCCTGTCAATTTGATGGATATTCCGTCAGCTTCTCTTACTGCATTATCTTCCGCCTTCACTAGTTGGTTATTCTGTGATCAGCCGACTTCCTGATATCTGGCTGGTACAATCGCTGATTGAGGCATCTCCTAGCAGCACTCTTATTCTGCTCGGCAACTTCACATGACATTCTTCCCAACTTGTTCCGAAATTTCTCGCATTACACAGCAGTGATCGGCTTGGTCATTAGACCTTCCTTCATGTCCTTCGCCAAGCTGTACTAAAACACTACTTGATCCTCATCAACCTCCTCACATACACAAAAGGATAGCAAATATGGTGCACTTGTTAACGAATCAATGCGGTGCTGGCGCGATTGAGCCTTGAGTCTCCTCATAAATCCTCAAAGATTTTCTTCACCTTTTTGCCCTAGATCAATCTGCTTTGAGTCACATTGGAATGAATAGCTTTCGTCAACGACATGTACTACGGCTTTGTCGATGACAGCCGCCGTGCCACCGTGCGGTCTTTCCTGCATCATCAGCTGAATAATCCGCGATACATCATGAACATGTAGCCACTTGTACTACGTCGGCTTTGCACCGTCCGTCCGCGTCTGAGAGGCCATAAAAACCTTGCGGAACACGCTTTTAAGGTACTTACCAGCGTATGGATGCATGCTGACAACTCCCACTACGACCGCAAGGTTTGTCGACCCTCTTCGAGCTCTTAATGGCGAGGTCAGTCACGATTGGGACTCCGCTGAGCATCATGCTGGGGTCGCATACCGCTGCGCGGAATACCTAGAGAGCTTGAAGCACATTGTGCATCGGCTGCCTCATGTTAATGACAATCGCGCTCTATCGGAGTGGCTCCTAGCCGTCGAGCAGATGAATGCGTCGCTTCATGCGAAGATGGAGCGCTTGGCGCCGTTGAAGATGGAGATCGTTACTCCGTGCATAAAACCAGTTGCTGGTTCAGATTCTGGGTGGTCGAGCGCCTGTTGGCGCCGCTCCGGTACCAGCGCTTCCTGGTTCACTTGCGCCATTTCCCGGTACGGCTTGAGCAAGACCACACAGAACACCGGGTGGGTGCGCATCCGTTTCGGAAGGTTTTAGCGTATACACAAGGCCTTGCTTGGCCACAACCTCAAGAGGCCCGATAAATCGTGACAGAGCTTCATCTTGAAAACAGCAGAAATTGCATGTGTAGGAAGGTTTTTAGCATCAACGAAACCAGGAATCCGACCTCGAAGTTTTTAACATTTTCTCCACCTCTTCTGTCTGCATATTCCTTCTGCATTTCCTGGCTTTCAGTCATCGTACCGCGAACGTGTCGTCAGAAACTTAATCTGGTAGGCAGAAATTCGTCGACTTCTTTACGAAAAGTGAGATGGCTGACATCAGCTAGCCGCTCGGCCATTGCTCCTCCACCAGCCCTGAGTGTGGGGTGGCGGTGTCAGCGGGACGCGAGGATAAACGATGCCGTTCACGTATAATGGCGTGTAGCCGGTAGAGGAATGCAATGCATTTTTAAGAGCAAAATTTACGGGTTACAGCATGACGATCCAGCGCCTTGGAGTCTCAGCGCAGACACTGAAGAACGCCTTCAACGACGTATTTTACGCACTCAATTTGACCATCGGTCTGAGGATGGTCCGCTGTTGACATATCCAGCTTGGTGTCAAGCACATTGGAGGTCGTCGTTTAAGAACACGCTCCACAAACAGCGTCGCTGTACCGACACCGTCGATGGTGTCCGGCACCACCGCAAGATGAGTAATCTAGCTTAAACAATCGACGAAGACCACGACACCCGTGTTGCCCGCCGAGCCCTTCGGCAGGCCAAACACAAAGTCCAAACTCATGGACTACCAGCACCCGGAGGGTACCGGCAAACTGTCCAGCGGCGCCATCGCATTCGGAGAAGGTTATACTCTTTGACACGTCTCACACGTGCTCACATTGATGCTCGTACATATGTACAGCTTGAGCCACCAGTAGTGGCAACTCATAGAGCTGTAGGTCCTCTCACGACTGATTGGCCACTGAGTGGGGGTGTCGTGGGCCTCTTATAGGATAAGGTACTTCAAATTCTCATCATGAGGAGCCACAATTCGTGGCGTATCCGTCGACGGACGACGTTACCGTCTTGGCATAGGCAACTCATAATCTGCACTTCGTGACAACGCATCAGCCAAAGCATTCTACTTTCCTGGCTTATGCTTCACCTTGAATTTATATTTGGCGAAAAATGAGAGCCATCTGGCCATGCTCTGCAAGAGTTGAGGCGACTGAGTCGCAGTGCGTAGTGACGCATGATCTGAGTAGATCACGAACGGCTTGGAGCCGAGCAGGTCAAGCCCGAACTTGACAAGTGCGCACATCCTCACAAGTAATTCCATGTCGCAAACTGGGTAGTTATCCTCTGCAGCCTTGAGCTAGTGAGATTCGGAACGTGATCACCCGATCTTGCCCCTCGGCGTCTGCTTGCAGCAACGCACAGCCGATGGCAAAGTCCGGAACGTTACAGACGACACTGAGAGGACAATCGGGGTCTGGCAACGCCAGTATTGGTGCATAAAGGAGGCTGACTTTGACCCCGTCAAAAGCCTCCCGATGTTCTGTGTCTCAACACCATTCCGCATCTTTCCTAAGGAGATTCGAGAATGGTCGTGACATTTCTGCGTAGTACTCGCTGTACTTAGGCAAGTAGTTGGCGAGGCCAAACCACTTGCTCAAGTCCTTGTGGTTCTTTGGACGTGACCTTAGCGAGATTCGCTCGATGACCACGCTTCCCGACGAAGCCCCCTAAGAAGGGAGTCTCTTCTGCGCCAAAGATGGACTTGTCTGCATTACAACTTATTCGTGCGCATGCACTCGAGCACCGCGTTTAAACGAACGATGTGGTTTTCCTCATCTGTCCTCCCGTGCCCCGCTCGACTGTGGACGAAGATGGCATCAAAGTATGACAATGTATAGGCCCACTGGGGCACTTGAACAACTGCATCAAGAAAGTTTATAGTGCATTTGACAGCCCTTTGGGCATCACCATCCACTCCTACAGCATGCCGCTCGGAGTACTCGCCGCCGTCGGCGAATAATCACTCGTATCATTAGCACTTGGTAATATCCATCGACCAAGTTGAGTGCACTGTACTTTGGACATCCAACCGTGTTGTACTGAAGAACATCCTTTTTATGAATTGGTGTTTGTGCCGTGATGGTGGCAGCTCTCATGCCTATTGTAAGCGTGAATGATACGCCACTTGCCGTTCGGCTTCCAGACACAAAATGTCGGTGTCGAGTGGGGAGACTTGCTCTCACGCACCATTCTCGCATCGTGCTTCGCACGGAAAAAGGCGTCAATGACGTCACACTGCTCCTTGGGAGGGGGTATTGGCTTGTTACGCAATATTTGGTTCCCGGATCAGATCGATCTCATGACGGATACCTCGGTCTGGGGTACCGACGGTGGGCCTTCGGAGACGACATCTTAAAACTTCTTTTCAAAAGAAGAGTACGGATCCGAGGGGTTATTAGGATCAAAGATCCACTTCGTGTGCTCAGCACCCTCTTGGTGTCCTTCAGGACAGCTTTATCCAGAAGCGACGACGAGTTGATCTCCTTTTCCGGTCGTATAATGACCACTTCGGCTAAGTCGCCCGTCTTCAAGGTACCGCCAAACTCTTTAAGAGAAACCTTGTCCAGCTCAAAAAAAGAATCCACCGCAGATATAGCCTCGAGGGTGACGTCGCCGTCTTCTTCTCCCGTCGTACCGTTGACGAGGGAATAAAGCTGTGCCCTATCATCTACGGTAGAAACATCCTAGTTCATGGTGGACGTCCCGCGTCTTGCAACTAGCATACGACGTCGCTGTCGCCTCTTCACAGAGGGTGTACGTCTAAGCGAGACCAGTATGAACACCCACTTAGCGTCGTCCAGTGTCAGCCTCACTTCCTGCTCCACCGTAGCCCTGATGGAACTAACAGCATCCGACGAAGAGCTGTAAATCCCGCAGTGATAATGTGCCACCTCACACGCATCTGAAGGACCTTGCCCAACCTCGTCCGACCATGCCACTCTGGGCATTCAGCAACTGATTCGAAACGTGGGCAGTGCTCAGGGGATTACGTGCCACTCCACGTGCATCACTAGGGCCTCGCCCTCGATGCCTCGGCCCTTGGCCGACCATGCCACTTTCGGCATGCAGCAACTGCTTTGATACTTGAGTAGTGCTCAGTGGGTAACGTGCCACTCCACGTTCAGCCCGCGAGCCATGCTCGGGACTCTTGTCCAATACACCTTTGGTTTTCGACAACTTGGATACTCCGATATCCAGCACATTGACCGTACTGGTCTAAAGCCCGCGGCAATAGCGCTTCTGCTTTCTAGCAAAGGTGGGTTCATGACTCACCAAAGCTTCACCAGGAGACCTGCGCATAGCACCCAAGGCCTTCGACCTCTAATCAATCCTTCGTATTGCATGGTTGGAGCAAAATAACCACACTCGCAAAAAGCTCCTTCCAGGAGGGGAACGCCGCTTCAACCGAAGTACCGCATGTTAGTGCCCATTCTCGCGCTCGGTCCCCGAGCTTAGCGATAGCTAGCGCCACGCGCTGTTGCTCGATCCGGGGCATGGCGGATGCCAAAGCCATCTCGGCCTCTCTCACTTTGAGCAGGATATTTTCTTCATCCTTACCCTCGAAGGTCTTAACGCTCACCATGAGCGGCCGGAGTCAGAAGGAGTCATCCGTCGTCGACGGTGGCTTCATGGACGCAGTCGACGCCGGCATCATCTTTTTGTGCTCTAGCAGAGAAATTACATCGTTTGCCTCAAGGCGCGCATTTTTCGCTTCGAGTTCTTGCGAAGCAAGGGATTCCACGCCCTCAGGATCAAGCAGAGACATCAGCTTAATAAGCATGTCTTGCATGCCCTGGGGCAAATCGGAGAATTTCTTTATCCTCACAGAGGATCAGTCGTAACGACTCAGGCCTAGATTGACTACGAGTAATACCAATTGCAGCGAGGCTGCCGTAGCTCTTTGCTTAGGGGAGGCGTACTTGGGTCACCACCTTACGTTCTATACAAGAAAGAGTACGAGCGTAGCGGATCGCAATCCGCTCCCTCCAAGAGTACTTAAGAGCTTTAACCAAGGCAAAGACGCTCTTCCGTTAAAAATTGCAGCTGTATTTAGCTGTTTTAAAATTTGCGGCAGAGCCGCCTATATCTAAAACTCTAGGTTTTCTTAATCAAATAGTAAAATCTAATCAATATGCATTACTACTGACAGTCCTGCCAGGTAGTAGCTTCTTGTCACGGTGTAGCCACACCATTGCGTGATTACATGAACTTGTGTAATGCACACCTTTGTACAATCATACCATCTTGTGTGACCCGGCCTTTCATACAAGAGTACGTGTAATTTCGTTACAACGTCTGCCCCAAAATTAGCATCAAACCGCAATATTACCACATCCTTGACAGGCGATATCAGTTTGGCGTGTAGTCTTCAAGAAGCGTAGCACACAAATAGCTGCACCACATTGTTGCACTCTGAGGCTCTCCAGGAATGTATCAGCTGTGGTATTAAAATTGCACCATCTAGCCAAGTAATTCGTGATGTACAGCAGACATTCCATCAAGGAATCGTACAGATTTGAGCGCATCGCCAAACAGCCCTCATCCGGTGTAGATGGCTTCGTTGATGATGACTACAATCCTGATGCGGATGGGCTGTTTACACTCTGGGAATCAGGCTGTACGATTCGATCAACCACGTCGTCGATATAGCGGGTCTACTCAATCATCAGTGTCATAGCTGCTATTGTAGTCAACATACTCGCCCAAAGAGAATCTCCGTCTTGCCCAGCTACTTCATCATAGATGTTTTTTTAACACTTCCTTAAGCTGTTGATTTTCCTTTTTTGTTTTGTTGTGACGATCACTTTATCCGCTGCGAGTCCATCGTTGAAAACACTTTCATAGATCGCTCACTGTAAACGCACTGCCCCTTCGCATAAACTTTCTTGACATACAGCCGCAACATCGCCTTTCGACAGTATCGAGCGGCGTCATCTCAGTAAGCTGATACAATACTGTATAGAAGCTATTAAAACTGGCATAAATCTCTTCTCATGAAAATAATTTACAAGTTCAATGGGCTTTGATAGTTTTAGTCGGACACATGATCTGGTAACGCATGAGGACAATTTAATATGTGGAATGATTAAATAGTGGTGGACTTTGCTTCCAAGTACTTTATTCTAGAGAAATGCGAGTCAATTTGGTCGTTTAATTTAAATATATGAGAGGTTTTATGTCAAAAAGACAGAGGCAAATTCTATTCATTGAGGAGTACAACTGACCCGATGCTGACACGCATATGACGATTTATTACGGGGTAGAGCCTAGGTGGCCAACAAGGAGACAAGCATAATTTAAACCAGAGTCTGCTACCCTGTGCAATATCACATTAATAGCGGAGGGAGGAGGCCGATATGACGAACTTTTTTTGGGCCTCAAATCCATTGTAAAATCCAAGCCTTGCTCTGAGAACGATTTCGTGCGCACCATGGTACATGAGATGATAATTACGCTAGAATAATATGCATCAGATCAAGATTATTGACTAAGTGTTGTGATAGAGCCTTTGCCACGGAATATCACGTTTAAACATTTAACCGTTCATATTATTCTTATGCGTTACCTCACAATGTCATTATGCCCTTTATTAAAAATTCAACCAAATACTGGTCCATTTGTTTTGAAGCAAAATTTTCCTAAAGCATTTATTACAATGCATTAATCATAGAATGTAAGACCATGCACTGGAATAGATGGAGCCTTATATTCACTTAACGCTTGTAATGCAAGCTGCGCTTGACTGATTGTATTATTAATGGGTGGAATCTGCAGTAAAGTATATAGTAAAGAGGTTGAAGTTTCAGATGATTTGGCGGAAGTGGTTCTGACTCTCCTTTATGCATCAATCATTTCCCTCTGAGCTCTTACCTGTGTAGAACCTCAAACAATCGATTAGTTGATGTCCTTGTTTTGCCAGCATTTTTTATGATATATATTCTCAGCTTTATACATCATGAGTATTTCAAATTTAATTTCCAGTAAAAGATGGCGTAGTCATCAGCAAAAATCGCAAGGGATCAAGAAGCGTGATGGTGTTAGTTACAAGGTGGTCATCACGACATAGACGTTACATTTACTATACGAAATCTGAGTATTGTGTGTAGACTCGTCGGTGACTTGTAATGTGGAAGTCACAATAAGTTACACGGTTATCTGGTACTTGCATCAATTTTAAGCATTACCAAAGTGAGATTGCGTAAATGACCCGACACAAATGATAACATTTCGTGTTGATTGACTTTGAATAGCAAGCTTATACTGCAGCCATTGCCAAGAAACGTACACGTCTGGACCTTTTAGAGAACATCAGCAGCGAAATTTAGTATTTTACCGTATTATTGTCAGCTAACTTCTACCTTGTAAAAATGTGCGGAATGTAGAGTATACCAAGGCAACTTGATATATTTACCATGTGGTCAATGTAAAGAATACCAAACGTAGCTGTATTATGCTCTATATTTCGTCATTCAAGCAGCTGATCGATAGTCTCAGCAAGACTTTAGCTCTCTATCTTGAGATGTAAATTCGTCATGTTATTAAACCTATTTGATGTTTCTGAGCTCGCTATTCATTGAGCTTCACCATTTCCAAATTTCACTTATACAGACAACGACGAAGATTCTTACACAACAATGACAAGAACTGCACTAATTGCGTCGACAATTGTAATCTTTGCAACGTTGACGCCAAGCATTGATAGTCATGGCTATATGTACATTCCTCGGACGCAGTTCAAAGGCCAGGGAAATGATGGTTGGATAGTGCAAATTGAACCTCTTTGGAAAAGTTCGGATTGGAATGGTAATACTCAGAAAAGCGTCAAGGCATTTCAAAGTCTGAAGGCTGCCAACAACTTCAAAGACCTGAAGACTCTCATGGATAATCCTGTCCTTGGGCGAGATTGTGGCTACAGTGATCCCAACGGCAAGCCTCAGCCCATTCCCAAAGATGGCAAAGCCACCTTCTCACGTGCCATGGTTCACACGGGTCCATGTGAGATGTGGCTTGACAACAAAAAAGTGCTGTATGAAGATGATTGCTATAGCAAATACGGAAATGTAGATGTGAACATTAAATCAGTGTTCCCCGTGGACTATTCATCGTGTGCCAATGGAGGCTGTAAGCAGATGCGTTTCTACTGGTTGGCGTTCCAAGGCATTAATGGCAAGACCTTTTGGCAATCCTACAGTAAGCTCACGACATGGTTTTGATGGCACTTAAGTGGATTATATGGTTGCTAATGATTTGTACTCTGTTATTGTAGAAATGTGCATTCCTCTTCAAGGTTCAGGTGGTGGCAAAAAAGAGGTTGGTGGCGAGGCCGATCAGCCAACCGACAATAATCCTCAACAATCAACGTCAGATGATAAGCCAGAAAAGACTCCCGAGGATAAGCCAAAAGAGCCTTTCAAGAATAAGCAAGAAAAGACTCCTGAGGTCACCCCAGTCTCATCATCAAAATGCAGTACCCGGAAGCTTCGTAACTAAGCATTTTGATAAACTCTGAGCTAGCAAATTGATGTGTAGATCGGAAGCCTTGGATGTAAACAAAGTTTGTATACGAAATGTGTTGAATACATGTCTAACAAACGAGTTTGTGCTAAAACCGACAGAATTTTAACGATAAATGTTGCCGCTTGATTTGTGTGACAATCTACTCCATAACAGCTGCGCATGGAATTCCTCTACAGTTTTGAAAGAGTCGTCGGCGATGTATCTCTTTGACTTTTTTCATACCAGATAAATACTATGTTTATAGGATGAAATAGCTTGAGTGACAAGCATCCAGAAACAATGGACAGCGAGGGTACCCTAAAACGGTAAGAATGAACCGAAGTATAACCTCTGGGTTACGCAAACTTCCATTAATAAAGCTCGAGAGTTTGTGCAATGCGTGAATTAAAATGAATGAATTCGTGTCACAATTCATACCGAGCTGTTCGTTCGAGCTGCTGCAGGCACTGGCTGAGGACATGCCAAAAGCGCAGATACAACTGAGAATTGTGAGAATAAAATGTGTGCACCCAGAAAATAAACTGTACACATCAAACTGGTGCAGCAAACGGGAGAGCGGAATTTCTGCGTAACAAACAGATGGCAGTCGAAGCTCAGCTTTTCACTTATAGCGACGACAGTGCCTATGCATGCTGCGATAGTGGGCGTCTTAGTCTCGAGATCAACATGTTTGTCGACTCGACCTGATTAATATCGTTAACCATAGAAGTTCTGTCGAATGCTAAAATCGCGCTAGAGCGCACCGATATTGAATCTTTTAACATGTCAACACGGCCGACGCGAATAGTGCAATTGTCTTCGTAAGAATTCTTGTCGTTGTCAATAGGAAGTTCATCTCTACACAAATCGAAACTTTTACGGTAATAAAACGATTGCACCATCGAAAATCATCTAATTTTTTTTTTTTTTCTTATCAATAATGAATCTAGCCCCCGCAGTGAGGGGTGTACTTACAGTGTGTGAATGTGACCCACTTAACATCACGAGGTCGAACAAAGGGAAAACGTGGCGCACAAATACCTTGAGAAGATAACAAATCTGCGTTTTCGTGGTACCCACATTGAATCTGTGGCGTGTAGAATACATGACCTGCTAAGCAGTAATTTACAATGATGACAATAAGTAGGGGCTGGTCACTAGTAATGCTGTCACAAATCGATATGTCAATCACAAAGTTTTTTTATACGTTTGTGATGAGCACAGTTAAAGGACGTCTATTTTTTTATTATAGACTTATAAATTAATCTGTGGTACTGTACTGAACAGCTTTTTTCTTTTATTTTGCCTGACATTTTTGACTGAATAGCGGTCTTGTAGGGGATTGGGCTCACATTTTGCCCTTCAACTCTCGCTAAAAATTGCCTTGTGAACCCTTTACGCGTGGCACCAAATCTCGATGGCTTCTTCGATTCAGCGATTAAAACTTGGAGCACATCTGCAGCACGGGGAGCGCCCATTGCATGCCAATTTGTTACACGTGTAGAGACCTGTAGCTCCCCTGGTCTTCCAGCACACTGCTGCGTCGTTTGGCAACGGGCAGATCGTGTAGGGTGGACCACACTCTTGGTCAATGGGTTGAAAAAAGGCACTGGCCCTCATGCCAAATCGTGAAATTAATATCACCGGCCTCTCAGGTCTCGTAGAAAAACACACAGTAAGTACAGGGAGACTCCAGATTACCACAAATCGTCGGCCACACTGGCCTCGGGTTTGTCAATACCGCTCTCCCACACGAAGCCAAAATCGCTGTATACCCACCGTTAGTGTATCATATTTAACTGTTCTTGTTCGTTACCATCACCGCCGACCTACCCAGCGCACAGGATGGACTTGTGAAGCACGGCTTGTAGTGGCGGCTTGTAGCGCCCGGGAGACTGTGCAGCGATGTGTGATACCACCAGAAAGGGCGAATGGCATCCTGCCCGACCAGGCAGCATCCGCATAGAGTGACGTAATGTTATGATATGTGCATGCTTTTTCATAACCAGTGTTGTGCCTACAGAATTCCGATCTGTTCGTCGCATACAAGTCTTGTTAGTGAGCAAGATGTTTGAGTTTATTTGAGCAGGCGACACCGAGTGGATATTGAGGCTGGGCTCGAAGCCGTGTAATCGCCGAAATGCGCATTCTCCATCATGGCAGAAATGCATTTCCCAAAATGTTTTTCCTCGACAGCATTATAGCGCCCTCTCAAGTTACATCGGAAATGCTCGCATGTAACCGAAAAGGCCATGAAGAGGGCTGTTTCGCATCGAACAAGCACCGATTGCGGTCCGACCAGACGATGTAGAGAAATGCAGCGCGAAGCGTGTGCCAAACGTCTTCAATCACGTCCTCGCCCTACTCCACTCTCCCTGGACGACTGGTTTCTCCGCTATTGCTATCATGGTCCACGTACACTGTGATTGGACAGAGGGGGACCTCGTGTTCTCGAAGTGCTCCAACATCCGTGATACCAGCGCACACTCGAAGAACAAGTGCCGTTCCGTCTCTACAGAATTACACCCGTTGCGCAATAAGTGATGCGTGGGTTAGACTGTTGCCGGAACCAGAACCAAAAAAAGCCGAAACGCTAAACGGGGCTGCAAGTCTTCAAATACGGGGAGAAGAATCTGGCGAAGGGGTTTCCTGTAACGTGTAAAGGTCTTAACTTCGTCTCTGCCGACACTGTGGGAGTGCAGTTTGGCGCCTTCGGCTTCCACACTACTCGAACAAGAGTTCTCCTAGATATCGATGGTATCAGACACACCGTTGAGCCGCTCGTGTAGCCCAAATTAGGGAATGTGTTTTGCTGTGATCTGACTTCTTCCGGCGGCGAGAGCTCACGAACTCCAACTCTACTCGCAATCTGAGTCGCTTCTCGATACAGAGAGCGCAACCATTGGTACTGCGCACTGAGTACCAAGACGGAAGCGTGACATCGAAGTATCGTTGGACAAAGTCCAACTCACTCGGCCACAAGGCCTTTTACGCTCCTAAAGTCGACCAAAAAGCGCAACCCGAAATCCCTCGTAATGTGCCATTGGAATCCACGTTGGGGTTCAGGACACATCCCAAGACAGCGACCGTGAGCGTTGACAGTAAGAGACCGTGGTGTTTGTTCGTAGTGGAGCTCTGGGTCAGAGTGAAACCAAATGGGTTAGTTAAGACCATACCAGACACGCTGGTTCGTCGGAAGGTCGTGCCATGTGATCCCCCACCGGGTTTTGTACCAGCAGGCCCACGTCAAATTTCACCAGGTGGAGATCAACTACCACTTAACCATAGTGCCATGTCAAAAGAGGGACGCCAATAGAAAGTCAAGCACCATTCGTTGATCGACTCTGTCATTTCCACGAGGTGGAGATCAATTTTCACTTGATCATTTTGCCATGTCAAAGTGAGGACACCAACAGAAAGTCGAGGGCCATTCCCCGACCGACTTTAGGAAAGACTGCTGTGAGAAGACCTACACCTACCGTTGTCCAGCGTCGTTCGGCTATCTTGCTTGCTGAGGGCATGAACTGAAGCAACAACTGGAGTCGCTGTCGTTTCAATTGTGCTTCAATGCTTAGTAAACCCAGTCCTCCTTCGCTCCTCGGAAGAAACAAAAAACTCCTGCGGAATGAGCTGGATATGGGTTTGTGATGAGCACATAATTACTTTAAGTAGCTTTGACGATGTTAATGTACTCGGTACACAAGCTTTACGTCGGTGTTTTTGCTTTGTAAACTATGTTCCAGGTTTCGAGTGTATGATAGGATGGACGGGATGTCATAGTGACTATGCAAAGACTATACATACCAAAATATGTCAATACAAACAGATGCTGTTCTGATGTGAACGATTGCGATGTTGTAATTATTTTCCATCACTTCTCATTCGCCACAGCATATCTTTGATGTGCCTATAATTTTCATTATACTCTCTAAGGTGTCCCGTTAGTCTTAGACCAAAATGCTACCAATGAATCTGCTACATCTACGCATTTTTCTCAATGCCTTTGATGTCTGCACAAATGACAGTCAAACGCAATCATGACGCACACGATTCAGTACCTTGTTACAGTGAAAGAATCTGCATCGGTGTCATAACTAGTCTGCTACGAGTGGCGGGAGCTTACAACTTTAGCAAGAAACCCATCAAGAGTGTAATCGACTGGAAAATTTCGGTGAATTTTTCCTGCCCACCCTGAGCTCCTTGCCTTCATCAGCAGCGGCCCATTTATGCTTCCATCAAAACTGAAGTGCGTGTACCAGAGGGCTAATGGAATGAACTTGGGGTGTACAACGCGTGACCTTGTGTTACTAGGGTTCAAAAATTCGCAGTTAAAGCCTATCTAAATGAAAACTAAAAAAATGTACTTTTCTTCTAAGATTAAAGTTTCACTTACCTCAATTGGTCTACAAACGCCCACAGTCCGTCAAAGATGTGTTTCGAGAAGCACAAAGTTTTCCAAAATGACGAATTGTACGTCGAAATGTGCGTTCATTTTCCGAACTAAATAAATCGTTGCGAAACGCAAGCGCCTCATCTAGTGTAAGAAAGTTCACCTTAGCAGTAGCAAATGTCCCAACTGTAGCCTGTTCGAACCATTCCGTGATCCACTGTTGAAGCTGTGACCCATTTGCAGTTGCAAGACATACAAACAGTCCAGCAATTGATCCGTGTTCTGCATCTACGCGGGAAGGCGACATAGTGCCAAGCACGATGCCCTCAAGAAGACAACTTACCAGCTTTTTCTTACCTCCTTCGTGCACTGCCATGTTCAATTCACATAATGATAAAAGCTTAATTCTAGCTTCAGACTGCTCGTAGACTTGCTCTAAAAAGCACAACACTGCCTTGTTGGCGTCGTTGTGCGAGATTGAAAGCGCCGATACTGCACACGACAAAATATTTATCAAAAGCGGACACTGTGGATCACTTGATGACATAGGCACTGATGCAGCTAGTAATAGCGGTACACACCGTATAGCGCGTTCCATCAAGTAAAAAAATTCTTCGATGACGTCTGGATGCGCCTCCATGTCATTCACGCTAGCAAAAATAGGTGTTGTCTTTTCAATAAGGGTATAAATCATTCGAGCAAACAATGAATTCAGATCGGTCGAGTTGCTGTCTGCAGTAAACTTGAGCACCATACTAGCCGTATAAAGGTATGATGATTTAGGCTCTGCCTGGTAAAACATGAGTAGGTTATCGACCAGTTGCGGCAACAGTGGTGCAATTTGTAGGGCACAAGTGCGAAGAATGCGCTTGTAGCACCGACAGACGCGTTCCACAAGTTCATCGTGACCACGATAGACGGTCAATATCTGATTAAAAAGTGGCCACAATTGCTCCGTTAACATTACAAGTGGATGTCTTTCGCCTTGAATGTCGGGACTATCAAGATATTCGTAGAGACAAATTAATCGTAAGAGTTCATCAAGTGCAATATCCACTTGCTCCGTAGCAGCGCTTGACGAAAACAAAGCAGTGAGTCGTTGGCCGATTCCCTTCATCACTTGGTCCAGGACAGTTAGCAGACAATCTCGGTCTTTCACACTTGACACACCTATACAAATGCCCTCTAAAATCAGCACTTGATCTTCAACAGCCATGACTTCCGTTTGCTCAATTTGCAAGTAAAAGGCGACTATGTCTTGCCCAAGCATCAGCCAGCAGTCGATGGCCAATGCACGAACAGCAGCACCGGCTGCTCTTGCCACTTCCCAATCTTTGTAAGACGATATCTCGGCACTTTTCGTCACACAAGTCGTAAGAAATCCTACTAATGGCGATAATACCGTCGGATGTGCGTGGAGCCACTTGGCATAACGTGATACGATCAGACAAGCAGTGTAGCAGATGGCTGGATGGTCTGCAAATTGAGTTAAATGCTGAAAAATCAGCGATATCGAAGCGTTTAAAGTCTCAGTGTTTGTATTGCTTTTCTCCACTTCACGCGCGATCGACCGAAAGCAGTACAAATGTGCCTCCACGGCTTCCCATTTCCGTGAATCCAGTGGAGCTTGAAAAACCAGGTTCAAGCCATTCACGCAATGCTGAAGAATTGTTTCAACACCCAGCAATTGACAGCAGTCTCTTAGAATATCGCCTATTTCCTGACGAAAATCTTTGAAGTTTTGCTGTTGATCACCTGGTAAGCTTAGAAAATCATCACGAAATTGGAGTTTTTGCGTGCATAATCCCGCCAATCTCATAACTTGAGGCTGATATCGCTCCAAAGTTGCTGAATTCCGATGCTGCAAGTTCCCCAACATATGTAACCAAAACGGAATCGTCACATCTGCAACTTCAGCGTCCGAGAAACTCATGCAATCCAGTAGTAGATCTACCAGCGCAACATCGTAATTTCCAATAGTTTGGATAAAACCAAAACATGCTTCTCCCATTTCGGAAAAAATTCGACAAAGTCCTAGACAGGTGTCGACATCTTCCGCTTCTGCCGCGACGCTGAATGCTCGTCGTAGCGACAACAATGTTGGAGCAAGCCACTGAATAACAACCGCATCGTGAGCGTAAGAAATGACCAACTGTACAGCCAAGTCGACGGAAGCATCAAAAAGTTCATCTCGACTTAAAAAGGTCAGTAATGAGTGTAACAAAGGGTTACGCACCACCACATCAGTGTTGATTCTGACGTAACGTACCCAGCCTGTAAGTGCACGCAGCACTGTATTTTGAATCTCGACACCGTCGGAACAATTGCCCAATTGTTGGTTACTCGCTTCATGCATTACTTGAGGAAGTAAACGGTCCAAAACTACCGATGCCCAGGCATCTACCTCGTCTTGCATCCTCTTTCTGGAACCTCGGTCGATCAAACTATCGATTTCTTCAACTAATAGAAGCAAAAATTCGACAAACACTGCAGGGGGTACCCTTTGCTGTACCATATGCAAAAGAGCGTACCCCACCACACTCTGGCCATTGCATTGAGCGCAAGTCTCTAGGACCGCTGCATAGAACTCACTAGCGTTCTTTTCAATGTCATTATAAGCTTGGGGCTTGAATTCTTGGACTTTAAGTTTCGGTAATGTTGCTACAAGGGCGAGCAACAGCTGTGTAACCACCATTTTCGGTAAACGAATGCCGCAGGATAACCAGGTTACAATCCGTTTGACCCAAGCGCCATCGTCCAATTCTGACGTGGATAGCCGACGTCGTAATTTTATGGCCAATGTCTGTGCTGCAAAGAACACGGGAGGTACGTTGTTCGAATCCAATGATCCGGAATTCGGTTGTGTGATAGAATTTTGTAATATTTGGTCCAGTAATGACATACAGATATCGAAGGCGGCAGGTGTAAGCTGAAAACCACGAAGGAAAGAGTCGGCCGCCTGCATCTCATGCACATTCGACCCATGCACTTGATAAAGCGATCCGAGCGCTGCCAGTACGGCTCGCTCCAGTCCCGCAGTATCTGACGAAGTCATAATTTATATTATTGACCCTTAAGTCACAAATATGGGGATTAATCTAGCGCAACTTTACAGATATGGCATTTTATTCTATTCGATGGTCACACGATGTGAAATTTCTTCAATATTATACTAGACTATTCACATTAGCTAACCATATTGTAACAGTTTTGGCAGGGCCAAAGCAAGCAAACCATAAGTCTTCCATCCAACATGTACGCACGTGACAGCAGTATCAATATCTAATGCGGCAGAAGTAGAAAAAGTATAACATATCGCCAGACAAGAAACCCAGCGCTTATATATTTGAGGAGATCATTCGGCATTGATCTCGAATTCTGTGATCACACAATACGAATACGTTACCAACCGAGCCGAATTTTCGGAATGGCGCGCTGCTTTTGATTTTTAGTCCGTAATATTGTTACGAGAAGGAAGGTGCACATGGTAGAGTGAATGGATGAAATCGAAAATAAGCTCGCGGTCGATGGACTGTATGCAGTTGGGGCACGGAATGAGTCACAACTTCAGCTGTCGAACGATTAGTTAAAATGTGCAGACTAATTACCAGAAACCAGCAGGTATATTAAAAAGACAAGACTATCGGGTGAATATTTCTCATCGGAGAAGATCTATTAGATTTATGGTTAATTAAGTGCGTGAGACGTTTTCTAATCAAGCTATCCCACCTCGGTCTTTCGCACAGTGAGATGGAGCGTGGGCTGGAGTTTAGAGGTCTGTTGTTGCAAGCAGTCGACAGCGAAGGTTTAAGTCTTGCAAAATTCCCGTTTTGTTTATATAGCACGGATAAATGAGACACTTGGAAAGTTGCAGCATATAAAGATACGTGCCTGGCAACAATGTGGAGTAGGAGCAGCCGCTCTCATTCTTTATGCGCCTTTCTAGATTATGCGGGTGCCCTTTTCTTCGATTTTCTCACTGGTAAAACATCATGATGTGTTGGGGATGCAAGCAAACGATTTTTTATCACTTGTCAAACTAACAAAAGAGAGTGGCGAATCGGTCTAAATGCTTTTTTTGCTTAACATGGGAACTCGTACAAATTGTTGGTTTCGCGTGCGCATCTTGAGAGTGCTGATTTAGAAATTTCACAAACCGCATATCAGGTGAGTGATCAATCAATTCTTCACCATCGGCTTACAATGCCATGAGTGCAAATTGGTTTGTACTCCCTGGATCTCACGTTAGCTGACCTTTTCTTGAGCTGTCCAAGGTTGCTTTGTTCTTGTAGCCGAAGCCTTTTGAGCTGATTTGATAGAAAAGAGGACAAAAATATCAGCGCGCGACTTTTTGGCACCTCCGCGCCGTGTGTTACAGCGCACAACATACTCCAGACGCATGTGTGCGGCGTTAAAATTGCGTAAGAGGCTTTATCAATTTTGTTTAGAGGCTCATCATGAAAAGCGACTACGAGTTCAAGATAAAATGCTGCTCCATTCTGTGCAAAAATCTGTGCAATATATATATTATACAACGCGATGAACTAAACAGGCTCTCGCAGCGCAGAATTATCGAATATTGTGGAAGACACCACTGGTAGCCTTGCCTCGCTTTGAATGTTTCAAAAGACAAGCTCTACTAGGCTGGCACGAGCTTGCGTTATCGCCCACCAAACCGAGCCAAGCAAAGGATGTCGCGTTGAAGTGCAAGCACCAAGGGCTAAGCAGACAACCACAACATGATGATAATGTCTGACACTAGCATCATCACCGTATTATGTTCTTAAATCGTAAATCACTTCTTAATAAAGTCAGATCCCAAAAAGTTAACGGCTGTTGTAGTCGGAACTTTGTCTCAATCGCAAAGGACTTATGACGAGGTCTATTCTGACCAACTACTTGCACAAGAGCTGTGCCTAATATGCCGATCTGTCTTCTCCTAATTCGAATCGGTCATTGCATGTCGACTGTGACGCTTTGCCTTTGTCATAGGCTGAGCAAATCTCCGAGTAAATGCCGATGGGAACGAACAGGTGACCGCATTCGGGTCCTGTCACCTCAAAGCGGTAAGAGAAAAGAAATACACTGTTCATAACAAGGAACTTTCTGCAATGAGGTATACCCTCGTCAAGTTCATAGTGCGCCTGATTGGCACTATACCGTTTGTAGTTGATACAAATCATGCGTCGTTTCGCACAGCGACGTTGTCACTACGTCTCTCACGAAATCGCAAGATGGTTATCTTTATTTGTCGAAAGTACCATCAATGTCGTGGCGGACGAGCTTTCTCTTCAACTCGACTATGTATTTTTATATGTACTTTGCGCGTCGAATTGGCATACAAATTTGGCGCAACATGAGTTTAATACTTGCTAAAATCATGGTGAATCTCTAAAATTTGAAATACTGAATGAGGCATATTGTATCCGCATCTAAAAAGAGTTGCTCAGAGAGTATATGTTAACAATACAACATATATCATACACGTGTGCTCGTGTGAAATATTTGAGAAGCTCACCGTACTGCTGTCAGCGCCACAACTGCCGGTAAGGTCACAATTAATTCGTTTTTTGGAAATGGTTCCGCCAATTTAGCTTGCTGGAGACAGCCGGTTTGAGCAAGGCCGACACTCGTTAGTGGATTTATGTCGAAGTTTGTTTTTAAAGGTGCTAGATACCATTATGGACGTTTCCACCCTAACCAGCCACAGACCGATTGTTTGTCAGACAGACCGTATTAACCGTGTGGTGGGTCTTCTCATTGGCACTTGCTTGGAAAGACCTCGGGAACAAAATGTTCTCACTCATCGAGGATGTGCTGAATCTTACTGTTCTTGCTTTGAAGTCTCCAGGGACTTAACTTTTACTAAATTAAATATATTTGCTAGTCCATCAATTTCATCGTCAACACTTCAGGCTTGATAGGAGGGCGAAGGCGATTCAACTTGTTAGCAATACCGCAGATTTTTCTCGACGATATTGAGCGTCTTCCGCTGACCGCGTGACGCATTGGCTCAAAACCACAATCTGCAACGTCATCATGCAGATTCGAAGGGCAGACGAGGTGAAGAGGTTTTATTGTACGTTGACTACTTCCCTGGGTAAGGCACTCTTTTTCATTTTGTTTGCCTTCCTGACCATGAACTCGCTGATTAAAGCTTCATCTTTGCAAGGTGCACAATAATCCCGTTGCGCAGGAGCAGACTACGCACCAGCGCACCCGCGACATTTACTGCCGGACGACAACATTTAGGCTGCACCGTTCATACGCACTCATCTCTATTTGTTTATGATCGTGTAGAAACTAAGATGTGTAAATTTCTGCCAAATTCAGGTAGCATTTGCTTGATCCTAAGGATCTATACAGACCTTTGCTATTACACCCAGCGACATTGTCAGCACATGTCAAGCAGAATGGCAAGGCAGGTACCCGACGGTCGCAGAAAGAGCGTCTGGGCAGACGATAATGAAGGTTGGCTTGATGTGGCGTGGCAAATTGCTTACACGCTGCCCCGTGATCCCATGACACAGTGGCATATCAAGCATCGCCAATGCTGAATCACGTCAGCTTAAAGCTGCACAAAAAAGTTACTTAGTCCGCGGCAAGGAGCTACTTGCTACTAAGCATGCTCTTGTCAGATTCAGGGTAGATCGGCTCGAATTTAGCTCGTTTGTGGTCTACATAGAGCATAATTCCGCACGAATACATTGCTACCATACCTTTTTCATAGAGTGGCAAAATGGTATTTTTTGCTAGCTTTCGTTTGATGTAAAATACAGGCCTGCTCGGATCGATAAGGTGGAAGATGTGCTTTCGCGTCGCCCTGATTTTGAGCTGTACATACCAAATGACGATGTCGTGTAGTGACGAAGCTATAAATATTGATTGAAACCAAACATAATACGGGCTATATTGTTATAACTTTGGAAGGCGAGATTTTTTCGGCTCGGATAAAAATTTATCAAAAAGTTCCAAACGCGTTTACAACACTAGTCTATATGTCAAGGTTTGCTATATGAACCGCTTGACACACAGCGAAGTCGCCTTGTCTTTCATCGAGCCATGTGCTTGAGCAAACAGTTGAATAAGAACATCTGGTGCGGCGCGTGCTTTTGAAGCTCTCACTAAATGGTCGTTGTGAAAATACATTGAATATGCAAAAGTCCATTTATCAAGTATATTCAAAAATGGATTTGGTTATTTAATTTTGGCAAGACTTACAAAGCTGGTGATCGAGACGAAATTTACGTTTTTGATGGGAAAGTGGGTAACGATATACATTTGCAAGCCCGCTAGTCTCCTTGGGATGCAAAGCAAAGATTAATGGTCGTTGATCTGGTACCGTTGTTGGGCATCCCTGCTCCGTGCAAAGTACGGCGGGGAATGGTGCCAATCCAATAAAAAATTAGCCTCACGCCTAAGTTAACAAGAGGTACTACTACCGTCGATTATAATTTTACATATTTATCGTTAAGCATAATTGTTTTGCGCTTTAAAAACTTTCTAAATAATTGAAACCCTGTGCATTCGTGTACTTGGACTAGGTCAGAAACTTCCTGTGTGCTAGGCACCACAGCAACCACGTCGCACTTTGTAACCTTATAGCATTTTCTGGCGTCATTTGCACGCTTGCCTCACTGGCAAGGCATGGGCTTTGGAACGAGCACGTGAATAATGTCGAGCTAACTTCTTAACTTAAGTAAAATCATATTAATAATATATTAAGCTTGGTAACATTATAGTATATAGAGGAGGAAGAAAAAAATGTGATCTGTATCACGTTGCCAAATATTATTAATAAATTGATACCCAGGATCATTAACCAAATATTAATTCAGCTCAAGTCAAGAGTAGAAACGGCCACAGGATGTATAGCAGATATACAGAAACGCATACGACCGATCTTTCTCTCTCGTACAAAAAGCTTATTCTAGTTCGAGGGCCACCCTTAGAAGAATGTTATATTTCTGTTTGTTTGGTGGGTCGGTACGAAAGACGACATTGTCATCATCCCTAGTGTTCAATGTCAAAACTCGATCTCATCCCTATATGTTCAATGTCAAATTTCGATCTCAGTGTAAGTCGAGCTGCACAGGTGACATCTATGCTGAATTTGCCACAAGAAGCCCTTCCATACAATTTCTCACATCATAACTATTTCTGCCGTGATCGGATAGCCACATGCTAGTGGATGAAAACCAGAAATTATGTCGGCTATTCAAAGAGCGTACGAGATTGCCCTATAATCGAAAGCCAGAAGTTGGACATTTGTGCCGATCTGTTTCGAATAATTCGATCTGAAGTGACGGAATAGCAATTTTTATCTACGATGATAGTGATGAGTATGTAATAGTTTGTCTGGTTGCTTGACAAGATATAAATAAAAGATGAATCATATAAAAACAAAGGGACGAAATCGACTTCGAGTCAATGAGAAAGGCTAGCAGAAAAGTCGATGTATCTCTCTGTCAATGCATTGTACATTCTGTCATTTTTGTATGGCCGGAAGACCGGGAGGAAAAATATAGTGACGCTTTCAAAACAAAGGCAAATTTTCTTAGCTTTGTTGAAACAGATAACAAAGTCGACAAATCTGTGATTGTTCTCCGAAGAACACTATGAATAAACAAGCAAAAACGCTTTTGTAGCCTGATAGTCTCGCTGGTGTCGAAATTTTGGCGCAGACAGACCGAAGGAGGAACAGACGAGTCAATTTTTGATTGTCACCGACCCTGCAATGCCGCGAAGCTAAGAGATAAATTAATTCGTGCATGCTGACACAGATACAATATGAAAAAGGTTTCTTCACCATGCACTGTGATGAACACAAAAAATCATCCTACAAGGAGACTAAACATGTTATATGTGGATTTTCAAACTATCTAGAAGTCTTATTGTCAAAGCATGAAACCTTCTTACTATAAAGTTTGGCTTCAAACAATAGCAGCACTTCCACAAAAAATGTCAATTGTTGCGGTGTTTGGTCGACAATTTTTCTCTTTGTATCTTTAATACCAGTGGTGATACCCACGGCCACACGGACACGGTTCAAAGTCGGCTTGTAACGTGCAAATTGATCCCTTTGAAAAGAGCTCGGCATGGAGAAGTAACATCCAAAAAATGTGACGGTCTATCAAAGCTTAAAGGCTGTCGTATACTGCAAGAAATTGAGAATTCTCATGTACACTCCAGACCTCGGCGTCTACTGTGACTTTAGTGACTTTAAAGGCCACAGTTCATCTTTCCAGATGGCAAAGCCATTTTACTGCGTGCTATACTTCACACAGGCCCAAGTAAGTTTTCGGTTCAACAAAAAAGTGTTGTACTAGGATGACTGCTTCACAAAGTACAGTAATTCGAATTCGGTTACTAAATCAGTGTTACAATTGGACCGCCGATGGAGGCTGTGACTTCTACTGGCTGCTTTTCTTGGACACAGTGAGCACACGACGTGGACTTGAGCACGTTTTCATGGTTACACACATGATGTTTTGTAAATTATGTCTACAGTTAAGAAAGACTGGTTCCTCAAAATGCAAAAAGAATATTTTAGGCCCTTAATTCGCAACATTGTTTACGAAATGTTCCTGATAAATGTTCATGATGCACTTCACTGGATTTCTCAATTACATACTATTTAACGAGTGCGACGTCGTCGCCCAACCTTCCGCAGTATAGATTTTGAGTGGAAGGTCGCATGAGAGAATGAAGTTGTGTCTTCGCCTGCGTTACTTCTTGGATAGTGCAACATGCGGAAGTAACGTACAAAAGTTGTCCATACCGGTAGGTACTGGTATATACCGGCTTGCGATTGCTGGTCGAGATGCTACTTTGACAACGACTTGACTGTTGCTTCAATTATGTACCATATGCTGAATGTACAAAGTACTATGCTCCATACATCATCATTCAAGCATCTAATAGTAAGTCTCAGCAAGATTTGCATACTCTATCTCAAGATGTAAATTCAAACCTATTTGAGCTTTCTGACCTTGCTATTCATCAGCCATCACCATTTCCGAATTCTACTATTTCAGATAACGACAAAGATTCTTACACAACAATGTCAACAACTGCAGTAATTGCGTCAACCATATTAATCCTTGCAACGTTGATGTCAAGCATTGAAAGTCATGGCTACGTGCTTATTCCTCAGACGCAGTTCAAAGGCCTCCCCGGTAATGAGGCTTGGATTGTTCAAATTGATCCGCTTTGGAAAAGTTCAGATTGGAATGGCAATACTGAACAAAGTGTCAAGGCATATCAAAGTCTGAAGGCTGCCAACAATTTCAAGGACTTGAAGACTCTCATGGAAACGCATGCCCTCGGGCCTGAGTGTGGCTTCAGTGATCCTAAAGGCAAGCCTCAGCCCATTCCCAAAGATGGCAAAGCCACCTTGTCGCGTGCCATAGTTCACAGGGGTCCATGTGAGATGTGGCTTGACAACAAAAAAGTGCTATACGAAGATGATTGCTATGCCAAATACGGGAATGAAGATGCAAAAATTAAATCGGTGCTCCCTGTGGACTATTCATCGTGTGCCAATGGAGGCTGTAAGGAGATGCGTTTCTACTGGCTGGCGTTCCAAGGCATAAAGGGCATAACCTTCTGGCAGTCCTACAGTAAGCTCACAATGTGGTTTTGATGACATTTGGGTATGAATTTTATGGTTCTTAATGAATTATATTCTGTGCGATTGTAGAAAATTGCATTCCTCTTCAAGGTTCAGGTGGTGGCGTAACTGAGGGTTTTGGTGATGCTGAACAATCATCCGACAACAACCCTGAACAAATAACACCAGAGAATAAGCCAGAAACGACTCCAGATGATAAGGCAGAAAAGAATCAAGATGATAAGGCAGAAAAGAATCAAGATGATAAGGCAGAGAAGAATCAAGATGATAAGGCAGAAAAGAATCAAGATGATAAGGCAGAAAAGAATCAAGATGAGAAGGCAGAAAAGAATTCAGATGATAAGGCAGAAAAGAATTCAGATGATAAGGCAGAAAAGAATTCAGATGATAAGGCAGAGAAGAATCCAGCGGATAAGCCAGAAACGACTCCAGAGCATAAGCAAGAAAAGACTCCTGAGGTCACCCCAGCCCCATCGTCAAAATGCAGAGGCCGAAAACTTCGTAACTAAGCATTTTGATTAACTTTAAGCTAGCAGATTGCTACGTAGATCATAGGTCTTGGATGTTGATGACGTCTGTATACGAAATGTGTTAAGTACATATCTAGCAAACGATTTTGTGGCAATATGTCTTGAAAACCGACACAAATCCAAGGAAATGATTCCTTATGGTCTGTGTTGACGATGCTTCTGCGCCTCTACTTGTTCGGAAGGGTCATCATCGGTGTACCCCCATTCCTTTTTTTATTCCACAGAAACGTCATGTTTATTTACTTTAAGGCAGCGAACATCCGGATCCTGAGGCTATGATTGCTACAATTTACACGGTTTAGGTGAGCTTCAGCCTGGACTCGTAGGCGTATGGCATGATCGTTTCTGGACCGATCGCGGTTTGCTATGCACCAGTGTGACGAATTCGTCTGGGTGATCAATCTCCTCCTGGTTGCTGGTACCACACAATATTCATTCATTGGCGTGGGCTTCGCTTCAGTTTATTTAGGTTATATATTCTCTTCGAGCCAAAATGACAGAGTTGAGACTATCTTTGAGTTGTAGGCCACCTTCATAATCACACAACTTCTTGTTTTTACTTTGCTACAGGGATGCAAGGTGCTAAACTAGAAGAAAAGGTAGGTACACCAGAAATGTCAAAATGAACCTAATTGGAACCTCTGGGTTACACAAACTTCCATTGACTAACTTCAAGAGTTTGTGCAATACTTAGAAAGAGAATAAATTGTTAGCTCCTGTTACCAGAATTCATCCCGAGCTGTTCTTCCGAACTAATGCAGGCTCTGGTTGAGATCTCGATCAAATATGCCAACAATGCTGATACGTCTGAGAGTTGGGACGCTACATATTACTTCGTGGGCGAATTTAGTATTAACTTCACCTTCAATTTATCTGCGTTTTTCATATCAATAATGAATTTCATTCGTATTCTCAAAAAAAAATATTGTGTACAGTAATTATCACTCGGTTATTGTTGCTGACAGGGAGTCAATGTGCCTCACTCAACATCGCGAGGCCGAACAAAGTGAGAACGTAGACGCACAAATATCTTGAGAAGGAAAGAAGAAATTTGCGAGAGTACCGATCAAATCTTCGGCGTTTGAGATTTGTATCCTTCAGGCAGTAATTTACAATGATAAATAATAGAAGGGGCTAGTCGTTAGTAATGCTGTTACTTATTGAACAAAATCGATTACGTCAATCAATGTGATCGACGTAATCGATTTTGTTCAATATAACAGTTCGAGTGACTATGCGAGGAAGTCCATGCATCCCAGGATATATTACTACAAACAGAGCTGTTTCTTTGTGCTTAACTATCAATACATTTGGGATCAGTCAAGTAAGTCGGCTAACAATGACATCCCTATCAGCGTCTCTGCTTGCGTTCTGAACAACTCGATGCATCCTACCTTTGGAAATCGCAGATCCTACATCAACAATTATGTTTTGATTCGTCATCATCAGATTGTTGAAGAAGTCCAGATCCCTTACTAGACATATGATGCCAGGCTCAACAAAGATTATCAATCAGCCATTTATGTAAAGACTTGTTATGGATAAAGTGCAAAGAGGCAGTAATGCCCATTAAGCCCTCGTTTGAAGTTTGCTGATACAGTCTCTCGCTTCATCGATTTCTTAACGAAACTGAGCTAGACAAGCTGCTGTCACCGGCACGCGCTGAAAATTCTCCGCTTATGTATGTCATGTGTGAACGTGATGTTAGTCCTAGACCAAAATGCTACCAATCAATTTGTTACATCCGCGCATTTTTCCACTACCTTTGATATTTGCACATACGACAGTTAAGCACAACAGAGACTTATCATCACGCACACAATTCAGTCTTCCGACCTTAACACCGTGGACGAATCTACAATGGTGTCATTACTAGTCTGCTACAAGTGGCAGGGGCTAATAATCTGTCTAGCTAGAACAGTTGATGTACCATCAACGGTGTGGTCGACTAGAACATATTTAGTGAATTCCTACCTATCGACCCTAAGCTGCTTGTCTAAAGCAGCGATGACCGATTGCAGAATGTTATGGTTCTGTTAAAATGCGTGAACCAGAAGGGTCAACGGAATGAATTTGACCGTACAACGCGTGACCTTGTGTTACTGCAAACACTGTATAGCTACGCTCACTCAACGCTGATGAAAAGGAGGCGCCAGCACTATTTATTATTCTGCCTACGCCATTTGAGTCAAGTCAAGTCGTGCAATCTGGAAACATCAGAGTTGTCAGACATTTGCAGGAGAAGCCTGTCTCGATCAAACTTAAGCTTTTACCTTAATTGGTCTAAGAACGCCCACAATTCGTTAAAGATGTAGCGCAAAGTTTTTCAAAATGACGAATCGTACGCGTTCATTTTCTGAACTTCGTTGCGAAACGCAAGTGCCTCATCTAGTGTAAGAAAATTAATCTAACGAGGTCGTTATTTATATTAGTATGCCTAATTCACAAATCTGAGGTAAATTAGGTGTAGATTACACTCTATTCAACTATCGTTGCAATAAACATTGTAGTATTAAAGATTTTAATATTTTTTGACGAATAATTTTTGGACCAAAGCTAGATAAAGCCATGAGCCTTCAATCCCACCTTTCGATTCGATACAACAGTATCAAAATCTAGTGCAGTGGAAGTAGCAAATATTAATCATCGACAGACAAGAAACCCAGCGCTAATTTAAACTGAGGAGAATTAAACGGGCAACCATACGGCATTGATCACGTATTATAAACACGTTGACAACCAGACCGAATTTGCGGTATGGTGCACTGCTTGCAACTTCCAAAACCGTAATATCGTAACGAAAAGGAAGGTGCACATGGTGGAGTAATTGGACGAAGTCCAAGAATGGCGATAACACTATCGATGGATGGACTATATGCTGATTGTGCACGCGCTTATTAGTCTTCACATATTGAGCTCACAACTTTAGCTGTCAGACAGCTAATCTAAAATGTGCAGGCTCCAAAGCACAAACCAGAAGGAAATCTATAAAGACAAGCCTTTCGAGTGGATATTTATCATCGCAGCAGTTTTGTTAGATTTATGGTGGATGAGTGCGCGAGACGTATTTCGAGCGAGCTATTCAGTCTTTCGCAAACTGCTTCTGGAAAGGTGAAGTGACGTTTATTATTATAGCGAATAGGCTTTTAACCTCCTTAACCTGACATGTATTCCCAGTTCTGATACAACAGAACTGAATGGCGATATAGAACTATACAGGATGTACAGTTAATGTTAGACACACAAGTATGTGATCCACACAACATGTGTAATGACACCACCCCCACTCAAATGTAGTTTTATCCAATTCTTCAGATTTTCTTTAACACTTCTGCCAGTTCTTCTTTCGCTCTTTGTATCGCTCTGTCCATCTCTCGCCAGACTGGCAACCCACACCAAAAGATCTTTGACACCATCGGACTTGTCGTTTATTCCGATACCACGTCAATTTGCGCATTTGGCTATCGTGAACTTGATCATCACGACGACTCTTATGAAAGACGCGGTGGATCCAGAGTCAATTGGGTGCTCAACTCTAACTCCAGTCGCCTATTGTTGCGCCATCGGACCGATTACTTGTGCTAGAGACAAACCATGAAGCCTCACGTAGGTTCTTTACGTACAGCAATTAACTTTGGATTCCACTATAGACAGTCGATACTCGATTCTGGGCATGGGTTCATGCGACCAAATCCGTGAAAACCGACCGTTTGCAAAGTGCAAGCACCGCTGCTAATTTGTTGAAGGTGTGCGATATGCGCTTACGATTTGCGCATTAAAATCGCAGAATCGGGTCCACTCCGATATCGAGGATGGTCGCGAAGTGCGTTCTGTCATTAGTCGGCTTAAAAGGAAGGATAGGGAAAGGAAAAGCTTTCCTAAGCGGCTTACGTCCTCGAATTCACATCGAAAGCGCGAACGATACTGGGGCAGTCGCGACAAATACGAGTACGAGGCTCACGAAGTCTCGCTTGCTGGATACCCCATCTAATTACCAAGAGCTCCTTTCAAGCGTAGACGTTCCTCTTGCCACCACGTTCTTGACGTGGTAGTTTCGATTTTCTAGTCGATCTAGAGAAGGAGGAGGTGGCCGGAGCGGCCGTTCCCTTAGCTTCTGCTTTGGGTGGTCTGCAGACATGACACTACTCAAAATGGACCAATGAAGCGATGTAAAAGCTTCGAGCATCTTAATCTTAAGACTGCAACGTCTGATAGAGTTTTACTACTCAGGAGTACATTGTCTTCCACAATAAATACATTTTGCCTTGACGACCTCGTCTATCTGCGTAATCCTTTTGCAGATCTTTCGCATTCGCCATTACGTCTCGCACCCATGCGATCAGATTCACACGACTCATGATGAATAAGTCCAAAGCATCCTTGTTCTTGCGCTTCACTTGCGCATCATTGATTATAGCAATTGTCGAGGTAACAATTTGCCGAGCCCCCCCCACGTACATTTGAGACACCAACAATCACACAAGATAAAACCTGCGGTAGTCGCAATCCATTCATAACAAATGGCGTAAATCCAGTGGATGAAATAGCTGAATTGTTTTAGCAAACTTAACCAATGTTGATAAAAAAAATCCGGGTCTTTTGCATACAAACTTCTCAACACATCACCGATCACTCGGTTGTCACGTTCTGTTTGCCCAATCGTAGATTACGATCAAATATGATGGCGCCTGGCAACCCGTGATTGCGAAGAACACGCGCCAATCTCGCCGAATCTACGGCATTGATGGTTCTCTTCCTTTCTCTTCTTTAATCGCCACACGGAGCGGTCCATACCATATTGCCGAGCCTGTCAACAAAGACGAGCATCCCATTGTGGCCGTCAGTATTCTCGGGGAAGTTGACTGGCTTTCACAAGTCAGTAGGAATCGAAAGACTCTGCAGTGACACTTGCGTGGGGCTTGCGCTCTTCATGCGGTGACACATATCGCATGTCTCCACGTATCGTGCCACAAGTGGGGTCACCAAAATTGGGCACTGAGAGACTGGTAGGTCATCCAACGGCCAAAGCAACCGGTCATCGGCGTATCATGCGCCTCGTACACAATAGTGTGCTTAAAATCATTGTTGTGGGAAATCACGATCTGCGTCTCTTCGCTATGTGCGACTTTATAGTAAAGGAGACCATCCTTAAATGCATACCGATGTATCAGTGATTTTAAGCGACCAAAACGCTCGTCGTAGAGTTCCTTATTACTCGATAACAGTACTCGGATGATCAGATCATACTGTTCATCATCAACATACGCTCGATGTGTCATATCGAATATCGAAATCGATGTAACCGACAAGACGACGTGACAATGCGTCCGCCAGCATGTTCCAATTCCCTGGCTTGTACGCGACCGTGAAGTTGTATTCTGCGAGGAAATGCAACCAGCGAGCTATTTGCTGCGACAAGTGAAGTGACTGAACTACGTAATGCAAGCTTGCATGATCCATGTAGACGACAAACGGAGTTGAACCCAAGAGATGAACACAAAACTTCACCGTAACTTATCGCTAAATGCTTCATGTCGTGAGCAGGTTAGTTCTTTTTTGCTAGCTTCAGCTGTCGCGATTTAAACGACACGACTCGATCGTGAGCTTCTGAGTCCTGCAGCTCCAAAACCGATTGTAAATTCAGAATTATCACACACCACGCTATACGGCTTCGTATCATCACGAAAGGAGCAATGGTGCTTCCATCAAGCTAATCTTGATTTGAGAGAATGCTTTTCCACAAGTGAATGACCACTCCCATGGTCAGTCCTTCTTGAGCAAGTTTTATAGTGAGCGTACCATGTCCGCGTAGAAATGCAATAAGCGATGCAAGAAATTGGACAAACCCAAATTATTCCTCAAATTTATTCGAATATGTGGTGTTGGCTCCTCATGATTTCCTTGGTCTTCTCAGGATCTGCACGAAAAGCGTATTCATGAGCATAACTACCGAGAATTGGTACTTCGCTAGCACCGAAAATACATTTTGCAAGATTCGCTTGCAATGAATGTTTACGCATACATTCCAGCACCGCACGGATGTGCTCCAAGTGCACTTCGTTGGCAGGTCTGTCGTCTCCGTCCTTCGAATGAACGAAAATGTCGTCAAAATGGGCTAGCGCGAAGCGTCATAGTGGTCGATATAGATGTGAGACCAATCGATTGAACATTGCTTGGACTTTGGATAGTCTTTGTGGTACCACAAGCCGCTCCAAATACATGAAGGATGATGTGCTGACAGCCGTCAAAGAAACGCCCTCCTGCCTCATAAAGCTTCGAAAATTTTCATAGACCAAATTGAGTACACAAATTTCTTTCAGCCGGGCATCCGGTGGATGATGACTTTCTTACGCCGAATCGGTGTTTGAGCGGGAATCGTCTGCGTGAACATTTCGCCATGTAATTGATTTACGCGTACAAAACGTCGGTGCGCTTTGATGAGACTTGCTCTCTCTCATTACCAGCAGCTTGCTTTTGGGCAAAGAAGTAATTGGTGTACTCAGTTTGTTCACGCGATAGTGGCCACTGTCCAAGCACTGCATGATTTGAGCCAATTCACGATCTTCAAACTCCACGTTTGGGTGGGAGGCCAGAAGGCGGGTTCGCACTAAAAACGTCATCCTTGTTTTCCATAATGAGTGCGAAATAAGGATCAGTAAGATCCTTCAAAATAGCCAATCCTTCGCGTGACTCCACACGCTGTCGAAACTCTTCAAAAATTAAATCATCCACAAGTGTTAATGAGCGTAATTCCGCTGTATCGACCTTCGACCGTAGAAACACGACCCCTGCAATGTCCTCACACTTGAGGTGGTGTAGGAAGTCGTCGTAAGTGACCTTCTTGAGCAGCATTAGCTCTTCCATTTTCTACAACGGTGCCAAAATAACACCTGTTCTTCTAACTCCACAACCAGTCGTTGCATCTACAATACATGGACCAGCATATTTGCAAGCTATATTTCATCATGTGGAGTAGTACGCTTAACTTACTCGCCCGCGGTCTCAACCACATCGAGAGCGGGGGATTAATACCGCGAACAACAAATCCCGTTGAATTGCTCACATGTTTGTGCTCCACCACACAACAGAAGGGAGTATCACCTTTGTAGTCAGTTGTACACACTCATTCACAACCCGAATCAACCACTGTATTAGCGGAAGTATTGGTGCTCTTGATTTCTTCGACTTTCCATTACACACATGTCGACAGCATTCCTCTGTTTGGAAGGGGGCAACAATCGGTATCGCTCCCCAAAACTCTTTCCGTTGTGCAAATCGCCAAGCTTACCGACGATTACTTCGTTTTCAAGTCCGGGCACCACTTGTTTATCGACACACTTCCTGAGGGACCACCCGTGGCCACTTCATATGACACCGTATCTTTCCTAACCTGGGGAATGTCGATTGCGTGACATATATCAATGAAGTGCGGGTCAATTCCAGTAGCATACGACTGCCTAGCGCTTGAGCGCTTTTTCTATTGCTTAGTGAAAGTGGGTTTATTACTCCTAAGAGTCTCACCTACGCCTGAAAATCCCAATCGTGTAGGACCGCCATTTGATCCATGGCTTATGCATTTCAAGCCAAGGTCATGCCGTTTGTCCATCTCAAAGACTGTAAATATTTCCTACAGTTGAAGTCTTCAAACTTCGCTTCAACGTAATTTTCTTCATGGTAACCACCACACCGGTGGCCAACTTCATTGAGATAAAGTCGTTGCTACTATATAGTGCTCCGACACCACTTCAGTTGTCATAGTCACACTTTGCTCCCGCGCATTTTTACGCGACGCGCCGGAGTCAATTAAGATTTCAAATGGACAACCGCAACCCTTCACACTCGTTGTAACCGAAAAGAGACCACCCCGACTCGTGTCGTTAACGAAGGACAGCGTTTTTTCAGGGGCTGAGTGATTCTATCACCACACTCACAGTTTATAATTGCTCGTCCTACGTCTACTAAGTATTGGCTTTTCCCGAACGCCTCGTGAATTTTAGTGCCACATGACTCGAGACCCTTCCGATGAGAATGGTATTGATAGGTTTGTCTCTCACGTGGACAATCACGGCGGAGGTGATCGAATTGTTGACATCCGTAACAGCGACCTTACTGCCTACGGACAGTCGCCGCGCCATGGTCGATTGATTACGGAATGTCGGTAGCAGCAGTTACTGCTTCCATCCGGTCGACCGAATTGACCACATGCTTGACGCCGACAGCAGTCCTCACAAAATCCACTTATAACTGCATCTTCCAGAGTCGTCGGGCTCTAGAGGAAGACTTCATTCTTGGAAGGGCCATAAGTGAGTCCGTCTATGAACACGGTGACCATCACTGCTTGGTTTCACTCACCATGCTGTCATGAAGCTCATGAAGCTTCTGCGCGTGGTCGTACGACTACCGTTGTCTCAACGGCATGACAGAAAATTTGAACGCTGTCGAAAAGCCACATTCGATGAAAGAAACATAGATTATTTTTTAAGCTTCCATGTGGTAAATTAGCCAATGCGGTTGACTTCCCACGTCATCGCCCAATCCTCCACACTGCCATCCAAATGCAACACGGCAAAGGCTGCTTAACTACGGTCATCATATATTTAAGCTATCGTAAATCGATGTTCATGTCTTGCTGCCGGAACGCACAATTTTTATCTTGGTTTTTGTGAAAGCCTTTCACCTTTATTTTCACGGGACGTCCCTGTGTGTGTACCGGCAGAGTCGCCACATTTTGTGGAGGGGGAGACAGAACCGGCATGTTTCGCGATAAAATCGCAACAATACTTGCTTATACGCAGAAAAATTTGTAAGCGTTGAGTTGTCGCTTCTTGATTCAAATGGGGCATATCACAGACCGCATGATCTCCGATTAAGGCTCGCAACTCCACCACAAACTCCCACAGCGAGTGTGCAAGGAAAAAATATACCTTCTTATAATCCGAGAACAACCAACGCCTGTGGTGCCCACATTATCTGTTGATCGAATATAATCCATAGAAGTAGTCGGCATAAAATGAATACAATTGCAACCAAGTGTAAGGAAAATTGCCCGTCCGTGTACACACACTTTTGTGAGGAAGGCGTTGGTCAACTGAGATGTCTCACTGCGTGTTCCTCGCTTCTCGCGGGCCATTGGCTTGCATAGAAAGAAGGAAAGGTAAAGTATCATTTATTATTATAAGAAATAGGTTTTTAACCTCCCTAAATTGACATTTAGTCCCATTTCGGATATGATGGGACTGAAAAGAACATACAACTATGCAGGAAGTACATAATGTTAGACGCACAAGTATGTGGTCCACACAACATGTGTAATGGGACCTAGCTCATTACAGCCATCAGTCTCTAAGAATGCTTCTTCGCAAACGAGAAAGTAAATCGTTGACTAAGTAACGAGCTTTCCTTATAATAATAAACGTTTCCTTCGGTGAATATAATTTGCAGTGTGGTAGTGGAATCCAGTAGTTATAAGACGTTAAGGTCGATAATCCGAAGTATCATCTTTCCAAAATGACCGATTTGAACTTCAAGCAACAAGTCTAAACATAGTAGGAATATTAGCCTACACCGGAGCTCAAAGTACTGCTGAGATACGCTCGAGCAAAGCAGAATGATTTTTAGTACAGTGAAAGCTGTGAGCGAAGCTTACAAAATTTTATTCACGCAGGAGAAGCATGCGAAAAGATGCGGATAGCCTTATGGTGAATAACAATGTTTGGTACGCCGATCCTATGACGAGGATGTCAGCCTAAGTAATGGCTATCGCGACGGACTATATTCGTCAGCGACAAAAGTCGCGCACTTTGTGTAATCTACTGATATTGAGATAGGAGACAGGAATTCAGAAAGATACGTCGGTGAGGCGGCGTAATAATCCCAACATGGCGCGAACGTGTGATAAATGCGAAGAGATAGGTGTCGAAAAGTGGGTTGTCAAACCAAGGTTATTTAAGATCGAATGTTTGCATCGCATGCTGTAACATAAATGTTTTCAACATCGTATAGGATGTATTGTATGCGTACAGGGACACCGTACTGTTATTCAATCTAAAATAGATCCTCACATTGCATACAAAAAAGTACGTTTATGTAATGTACCGTCATGTATTGGCTATGTGCTGCCTATTACAGGGTAGATAATATTTAGTCTTGAGAAGAGAGTATCTAGCACTAGAGCTCGTGACCACGTAGTGTTCTTTAAGGAGCCTGATAGTACTTCACGAGGTGTTAACGCATCATGAACAGATCCAAAACACGCGCAAAAATTAAAATGTACTAACACGGGACAAATATTGTCATGCTTGGCCAAAGTTTTTATCTCAGAAGTGAAGCAGATATATTTTGGTTTTTACAGTGGCCAGTTCAGCTTACTAAGAATCGGATTTGTACTCATACGTTTGAAATAATTTATCTAGTATTTGGTGAAGGTACGCTTTGCCAATAGAGAAGGCCGTTTCATTAGCCTAGCTAGTAATAGTTGTTAAATTGATGATGCTGAGGACTCAAATTTTTGTATTGATAACAAAGTCAAAATTTCTCAACTCTTTTGAGTTCGTTAATAATTTGACAATGCAGAGCTAGACTGAACTTTCCACCCAAGTAATTTACTCGCCCTATTCTGTGCGCTTCACGACAAAGAAGAGGAATGAACCTTAGTGCATACGGAGATCCCAACACCAGGAGACACAAAACCCCGAGAGCGGGAAAGAATAATGTTCAAATGTAAGCTTCATCAACATTGAAATTTCATAAGTCAAAGTGTAGTGCGTTCGTCAGTCTTTGATGTTTGATTTTCACAGTCGCTTCAAGCACTGAGTTATGTGTACAAAGTCACCTTCAACAGTCGCACTGAATATTACACATCTTATCCATTACTACATTCCATGCGCAGTGCGAAACTCTTGGGCATGTGCGAATTACGTTGCATTTTGATGCGGAACACTGACCAACCCTGTAATGTCATTAGCATAGCTGAGAGTATTATGATTAATATCACGAGTCTTCATTAAAAAGTGTGGCTGGCAACGCAAAGATGACACAATAGAGGCTCAGTAAATAAAGCGGAAATCCCTGGTGAAATGGATTGTCTTGTCGAGCTCCTGCTTTCAAATTAATTGCTATTGATTAGGACATGGTTGTATAAAACCTTACAACAAAAGACCTTGCCAATTTTTACAATATCAAAGAACAATGTCCAATACTTGTCATCTGACACTGCTAAAAGCCTTTACAATGTCGAGGTAAATGGCGTCAGCAGACTTTAAGATACACAAATGATTCTGGAATGTTGAAAGTCCAAGAAATATCTTGATGCATAGTGAGTCTCATGACCGGGTATAAGCCAAACTGCATGTCGCCTAAAAGCTCAGATAAGACTTGGTTACGTATGCATTCTTTTGGTCCATGTATGGCATCGTTTTATCAAAATGTGAGAGGATGATGAATCTTTCGATTTGAGTGGCTGTACTTTTAGGGAGCAGAGAGAGATTAACACGACTATAAAACTTTTCATACATCCATATCAAAATTGGGGAGGCACAAACTAGCTCTGAAGCTTGCGCACAATTTAAAGGGAAAACTGGTAACAGTTAGTTGGTTAGCCATTTTTTCACCCGCACCGTGTGCTTGATGGCATAGTAGTAAAATATTAGCTACAAGCGGTGCGTCTTATGATGAAGATTGTAACGAAGTCAGCCTCCAACTGCTGTGCTGCAAAACTTGGCTGTACTTTGCTCAAATCGAATTTCTTAGTAGTAATATTGAGATTTCTTGAATTGGACTGGACTGATATACCCAAATATTATGTCCCCGGTGAGTTGACAGCACGACGTCTGAGTCCCTCGAGATTTCTGAAAGATAGGGCCTAAGTTCTACTGAGGTTGGAATATGAAAAGCTGTTTTAGATGCATTCGCATCCAGGTCAAGCTTTGAGACACAATTACGTTATCACCGTACTTGAGTAAATAAAAGCTTGGCGAACTTCTTGATAGTGTAATTGGTTGGTGTCGTTGGGTTCCAATTAGCGTTCGTTTCTTTGAAAAGCAAGTCGAACACGGCGACACTGAGCAGCCTTTATGGATTTTCTCTAGGTATTCCTTGCTTAAAAATATGATCCCGGTGCTTGTGTTCATTGAGAAGATATACTAAGACCATAGTGCGCAATAGTCACATAAGTTGACATCAAGTCTGATGTCTTCAACCTGTAAAGGCCGTGGTGAACATTTAAATGATGCTTTTGCCTGACGAATAGGGTATGAAAAAACAGCAATTCAACAGCAAAGCGAACACCAAGACCAAGTCATGCGCTTGAAACGTGACCAGTCAAGCAAATGAAAATATTGTTATAGTCTTCACTTACGAGGCAAAAGTCGATTCCGTTGGGCCTGTGCATCCATAGTAGAAAATTTTCAAAGACGTCAAAATACGAAAAACAGAGCAATCCTCCAGTCAGGAAGATCGGTCTTCCATTATCATAGTTTTTGCGAAACAGCCTGGCTTGGCCCGGTAACGGGTGCAAGACAACTTTATATCACCTTTAACCGAGTGATAAGCTGAGCCGTCAAAATCGCGTGGTAAATTTAAGGGCGGTTGCTACATGTAGCTATTTCAAAGAACGTGGTCGATGGCGTGTCGTTGCACGATGTCTTGAAAATTATTCCCCGCTAAAAGTTATTGCGACTCTGGTATATATTTGGGTGCTGGTCGGATCGGTGAACGAAAACGTTTGAGTTAGCCCTATGAACAAAACAGTTGTTGCTTGTCGATATATTAGAACTTGATAGTTTGGCTCAATTGAAAGCAGCGAGAGAAGAAATCTTGATATAGCTCGAGCTTGGTCAATTGGGGATTGATACAACCTTCATATTTTCGACTTAAAAGTGAAGCTAGGAGTTACTTGTCTAGTAAAGGACCTTGAGCCTTACAAACCAGAATTTCTGAAACGGTGAAACAGGCTTGTATTGCGGCAGGGCTTTGACAAACGTGTTAAAATCGAGCAGTCACAATGTGCGGTTCGTTGAAAGAGAAAGAGTTAAACTGAAGAAATACTACGGAATCTTATCAGCTAAAGCTATTACCTTGACTGGGTCAAGGTACACCGTCGGAGCTATGATGTGGATAACTGCGTCACAAGAAGATAGTACCAAAAACGCTTCGACTGCGATCGACGGTACTGGCTTGCCATGTAAAACATAGAATGTAGCATCTTGTCGATTGGCCCTGTGTCGTGATGAAGTTCAGGCATTTCTTAGCGTTTAAATTTTTCTTAAGGCAGAAAACAAATGTGTCAACTTTCACTTCGAACGATTGAGCTTTAAGCATAAGTCATAGGGTAGTCTCAGAGGGGTCAGCTTTCAAATTTTTCACGGAGTTAAAAAAAACGCCCTAATTATGGATCCGACTTCTTTATAATGGTTTCGGGGTAACCAAAGCCATGTATGTCGGAACACCTTGATAGGGTGGAATTGGTTCCAGCACAACATCGTTGTCCTCTTAGTGATAGAGTGTCATGTCAAATTACCAATGCGGCAAATTAGGTATGGTCTACAGACCACAACAGAATACGAGAATTATACCCTAAAATATATTGGGCTCAAGTTGAGTGGCTCAATTCCCGACCCTAATACTCAATATATCTCACAGAGATTGGATTGGCAATAGCAAAAGGCTCGATGAATTTTGGCCGCTTTCGACCATACTGAGACGAGAATGGGTGGTTATACGGTAAAGTTTCTAGTTTATTCGTTAAGTCGGAATTATTTTTAAGACTGGCTTGGTGTTGTGAGGAGTCGCCATTACAGTCAACGTAGACTGATGGGTCGTTTAAAGTTGGCTTTGCGTCTTTAAGCAGGCATCTTTCTCTTTGTTGATGGCTGGATTGCCTATTGTGCCTGTCTAAAGTAAGCTCATTTAACCGTATAACCCTCAAACGCTGAGATGGATTACCAACGATAGCTTCGAATATCAAAGAAATAGTCTCCGATGTTCGACTGCATTCGAAAGTTAGCCAAGTGTCCTTAAGCTCTTTTGCTCAACAACATAAATTGCCGTTTCTCAAAATATGGCACTCATTACTATGTGGATTCGGTTCGACTCCCTGATGAAGTAACCGGTTGCGCGATTTTCGACTGGTTTGAGTTTCATGGGGCACTCCACACGTGTATGTTACTAATCAAAACACACAATCGTCTTGATGACATAATTCTCCATTCATGCTTCGTCAGCTAAAAGGACACGATGTTACCAAATCACCCCACCCAACCATTCCTCTGCACCAAGAAGAAAGGGCAGCAAAAAAACGTGAGCCCCGACATCAGGGATGATAGCTAAAATTCTGCAGAAGCCAGCTTTGATGTGTGCCTATGTGGCTGTAACGAATATGTCTGGGGTGAATACATTTGCATTTGAAACTACATGAAACAGATTTGTGAAAAGACGCTGTTATATCTGATTGTTAATGTGGATAGCAGTTTTAAAATCGAACAATAAAAAAAAGATTTTGATGCAAATCCCTTTATATGTTTATACACTTTTCATTTTGCCAAATACCCCCACAAGTCTTTTTCTTACACATAACAGCGCGAGCTAGTAAAAGAAAGTTGGTTCTATTACTGCGGTGGTCAGTTCCTCCAAAAACCCGCTAAATGTTTCCCACGTACTACTGCTGAAATGATCAAAATGCGGTGAAGTTTATCAATGCGGCCGGTGAAGGAGTGCATCGAAACTTGAAGAGGCTCATTTGTTTTTACAGATTGTCGGTGGCGGACCAAAATGTGTAGTTGTTCAGGTGAAATAAACATATTTTCCTGCATAATTTTTCTCTTTCACTTGCATGCAAATATAGTATGTGATTTTTTTTTTTACTGGAAGTTTGTAAAGCTTGAGGCTCAAACCTTGGCAAAGTGGGTAACTGACTGCATTAAAGTGCAAACTCAAATTATGATGGACAATAATATATTGAGCGCTTAAACTTTTAGCCACGCAAGATCAGTGTACCTTAACACACAGAGTATTGCGGTTGTAGTCTTTTGTATAAGAAATCAATCTCGTAATCTCCGAAACAGAGATCCTCATTTTTACTTTATCATGACGCAATGTGCTCGAAATCAGAAAAAATTAAGATTCTAGAAAAAAGACGCATATACCTCGGTGGAGTTAATGCAGTAAGTAAAGGCACGGAATGCCTAGTAAACATAAAGCAGCAAAAACCGTTAGAGCACGAAAAGTTTGAAAGCGGGAGAGACCAAAGAAAGCCAAAAGGTGCGAGGAAACGGTGCACAGGCGGAGTCTGAGCTCTATCGCAACGGAGGCCTCAGGTTAAGTATTTTTGCGGGAGAATGCAAATTGCGAGCCATGGAGGTATTGGCTCCGCTCCATGTCGGAGCGCACGAACCCAACATTTGTGAGTTTGTTAACGCAGACTCTGAGAGTCAAATCTCGTTATGTCGGAAGCGCAATTCAGCCTCGTTGCGAGGTCGTGTGGCAAACCAGACCAGTGAGATGAACGATAGCCTGACATGTTCTTGCCACCCACCACGCAGGCTGCGCATGGCCAGTATATTATTGTAGTAACTGTAATACATATGATGAGATTTGTTGAGCAAAGCATTCTGTAATCACCAAGCTAGTGACATGCGAACTGGACTAGAACAGTGTCCCCACGACTGCAATATCTGGCTTTGTCACTAAATACGTTGTACACTACTGACTTTTTGATACAATGCATACACCGGGCCCTGTTTAACGGACAGTACACGTGGAAATCGAGAAAAGCATCAATAACTTTACCTCTGTATAATTGAAAACTAGAAGAAGATCAAGGACTTAGATGTACAGTAGCTTAGTCCGCCATTAATCTACTTCGAGGCTTCTTTATTCCACAATTGTGACTGCTGTAAGTCGCAAATTACCTCCATTGTAGCTGTGCTAATGTGAACGTATGTACCCAAGGACTAATCCTATTCGTCTTCTTCGAGCGGCTATCAGTAGAGCTTTGAGGGTGGTGATCTCCCTATCGACTCTACCCAACCTAAATTTTCGAGTACTT